CCTTCAATGACCTTCTCAAGGTCAAAAAGGTCTTTTTTCAACTTGCTTCAAATTGACTAAAAAAAATTTTCAAAATCATCTACGTGTTCTCAGAAATTCAAATCTGACTTTAGATTTGACTTAAGATTTGACATTTGACCTTCAATGACCTAACTAGGTGGTGACATTTTGTCATGTTAATGCCTTGTATTTTATGTTTTAGAAAGATTGGAGGAATTTGATTTTGAGGAGATAATGTATGTAGTTATCAACGACATTGAACGATTGGCATCGGCAGACTATGGTGATCCTGATCTAAATGACCTTATGAACAATGAGGTGGTGGAAAAAATGAATGAATTTAAGGACACTGTTACGGATAAATTATGTTAGTATTTGAGATATTATGAAAATGTAAAGATAGTTCATAATTCACCGATGACCGGATGTTTATGTTTACCATAAAAATCATGCGTTGGTGACATTTTTCTGAAAGGGAAAATTAAAAATATACAATTAAAAAGTAGAGCATCAGAATGGGTAACAGTTTTGGCCCACTGTGTAGCATGTCTAAGGTAGTAGACTGATTTATTTACTTTAAATGTACACGGTGTTAAAAAACGCAACCCAAAGAAATCGCTATATCTTGGAAAATACTAATTCAATTATATTCATTTTTTCAGGAAAGAAAGAAGAGACCGTGTATGTATAGCTCCTGTAGTTGGTTAGTTGTAAAACATGATGCATTGGACACCTGCTCAAAATACATTTGTTCTAGTATAGGAAGATACGAAAAACGCAGTCAAGGGTGACTGCAACCGCAAAAATACAAATAACTTCCTAACCATAGTGTTTTGGCGCTTCAAATTTGGCACAAATCATCTTCATTCAATATATGGTAAATCTGTAAAGTGAAATCAAAAACACTCAAGGGACTTTACAGTTATGGTCGAAATCCTTTCAAAACGCAGCCAAGCGCCCTGGTTCGGGCAGACTTAAGAAGGCATTTTGACCATGACTGTAAAGTCCCTGGGATGATTTTTATGAAACTCCACAAATTCACCACACATTGAATGAGGATAATTTGTGCTAAATCTGAAGTGCCAATACACTATAGTTAGAAAGTTATTCTGTTTTATTGCTGTGGCAGTCACCTCATATGTAGACATTGAAATAAATTTATAAATAAAAAAATAAACCTCTGACTGCATTTTTCGTATGTTTCTAATACGAATGTCTTTTGAGCAGGTGTCCAAGGCATCATGTTTTACAACTAACTAACAACAGGGGCTTTACATACACAGTCTCTTCTTTCTTTCCTGAAAAATTAACACAATTGGATTAGTATTTTCTAAGATATAGCGATTTCTTTGGGCTGCGTTTTTTTAACACCCTGTACGATCAGAGAGCGAAATAATCCTAAACGCACATGATATTCATTACTGTTTTAATTCATTAAGATTAACCTTCGAAAAACAAGGCACTCATTAATCCACGAATTCTATATTCAGTTCAGTCTTTTAAAGTTGAAAGGTTGTCTCATTTTGATTGTTGTATACTTTTTAAATAATGAATTTTTCAACAGTCTAGAATACGCATGCACACCAGCCATGGAATTCGTAACATAATGAAATTATTACATTTTTAACATCTATTAAAAAGTCCTTTAAACTCCTTGATCAGAAATTCCATAGAGCTTTGAAATTTCGCTAAGTCTAGTTTTTTTTCATGAGATTTTTCACAATGATAAAAATGATTTATACATGTTTATCATTCAAATCATTTTCCGTGACAATTTAAAAAACTTCGGCCAAATCTTCATTGATACAATGCTAAAATTCTTCAAAACCTAGAAACAGTATACATGTACTATTGTTTTATGATTTCACAAGGTGTTTCAGATTATGTTGATGTTTATTTGGTTTTGTCACCTGCTAATCCGCTGCCATTCTCGTTGACATTGTCGCTTCAACATTCTTATTTACTTGATGAACTTCTGACTTGCTTGGTTTTCAGTGAACTGGATATTCTATTACGACGAAACAGTAAGAAGAATAGTAAAGTGGTTAACAAACCAACATATTAGGGAAAGAACAGCTGACGAAGTTTGGCAAGTATTTGACCAGTTTTTGCAGTTTAGACCCGAAACAACGTCGATGATGCAAACACTCGAACATATGATAAAACGTGTAAGTCTGGTGCGCCAATAAGCCGCATATGAGTAAAAGAGCGTCATTTATCCAATGCCAAGTAGATTTTTAGGGAGATAAGTTGGTAAGATATATCCCGTATCCTGATTTTGAGGTTTCCATATCCAGAACCTCCATATCTCCCGCCATGTCTCCTGCTTTGGTGCATATCTTCCCGCATCCGGTGCATATCTTCCCGCTTCAATTAATTGTGAGATATGCACATCTACCTTCGGTCCCTACGGTAGATATGCATATCTCCCTCTGGATAAACCCTATATCCAAAACCTCCCAGTACATAACCCTTATTTATTTCATACGGGAGAATATTGAGATGTTAAGGGTGAAAGTGGTTTATATTTCTGAGGAAGTTTAAGGGTGAAAGTGATTTCTTTTTCCAAGGATGTTGAGGAAAACCTACTTCAAAACTTGCATGCAGAACAAAATATAATCTGTCAGCCGATATGTCTTACGTTTTTTCAACCCAGTAGTGAATCGTCATTTAAGGACAATATCACAAAATAAATAATCAGTTTGACACACAGTGAATTCTTTTATTTTTACAGGTACACACTGTGGTCGAATCTGCCGATATTTCTCCTGAGGCAGAGTTGATGGCGGATTTAGTGGCAAAGAAAATGGATAGATTGCGTTTTATGGTTGAACAGATGGATCCTATACTGATTAATGAAGATAACGGTGAATTATCTAGCCCCGTTGATACAGCAGTTTTCTATGGTACAGATATAACCAGGCTCAGGCTAAAAAGAGGTAAGGCCCTTGGAATTGCATAATATTTTAATGAGTATTACTAAAAAGAACAATGAGCCCTTTAGTGCAAAGCACATGCTAATGTGTTTTCAACAAAAATAGCTCATCAGAGCGCTTGAACGATCTATTTTTGTTTAAAACGTGTGACTATTAGTCCATGGTATGAAATCTCTAGGACGTCTAATAAAGGAGTTGGTAGCACACTATAGCGCAGCGATATTTGACCTTACATTAACATACCTACATATGTCCCCTAATAATTTTTATTATAACCGTTCAATATACTTCCGGATTTTAGGCTGAATTATGCCTGCCATTAACAGAGGTCAAAAAATCACCAAAAAATAAAATCCCAATTTTTCACAATTTGGAGTACACAATGCAACAGAAAATGATAAAAAATGATTTTAAATATATGATTTATGTTTCTAAGCTATAAGTTTGAGGTTATCTTTCTTATCAATACCAAAAAATATGTAATCAGTGTATCGACGTTTTGTATTGTTTCTAATGTATTAATAAGATAAATGCTACAAATGAATCACTTTTATATTGGAATGACAAATGTTTAAATGATGCTATTTTTGTTTACAAAGGGGTCTCAATACGTTTTTAGATATGAACCTTTATTCAGCGGTGATAATTATCAATAAAGGCGGGCCTATTGCTCTTCCTTGACTAATTGGGACTACAGCTAAAATTATATTTCCCGTAGTTAGATATAGCTCAGTTGCTTATAAAACAACCATCAAGACTTGATTGAATTCATGAATAATTGAAAAAAAAATAGAATTTTAGCTATAGTCCCAATTAGTCAAGGAAGAGCAATAGGCCCGCCTTTATTGATAATTTTCACCGCTGAATAAAAGTCCATATCTCAAAACGTATTGAGACCCCTTTTGTGAAAAACTAGCAAAATTTAAACATTTGTCATTCCAATATAAAAGTGATTCATTTGTAACATTTATTTTATTAATACCTGAGAAACAATACAAAATGTCGATACACTGATTACATATTTTTTGGTATTGATAAGAAAAATAACCTCAAACTTAAAGCTTAGAAACCTAAATCATATATTTAAAATCATTTTGTATTATTTTCTGTTGCATTGTGTACTCCAAATTGTGAGAAATTGGGATTTTATTTTTTGGTGATTTTTTGACCTCTGTTAATGGCAGGCATAATTCAGCCTAAAAGCCGGAAGTATATTTAAAGGTTATAATAAAAATTATTACGGGACATATGTAGGTATGTTAATGTAAGGTCAAATATCGCTGCGCTATAGTGCGCTACCAGCTCCTTCATTAGACGTCCTAGAGATTTCATACCATGGACTATTAGCCCCGTTGACTCAACATGAGATACTGAAATGATTTAAAAACGTCACTTCTTAATTTCAAAGTTGGATCAAAATTATGTTTGCGGATTCGAATTCATGAAAAAATATTTCTCATAACTCTCACAAAGGAGAACTTATTTGGTTGACCTACTTTTCGGATACCATGTCTCAAATTCGATAAGAGTTGTCGAAAATTGACTAAGGTAATGGACAAACTAGATATTAACCTTTGAGATTAACATCTTGAGTCCAATAACGTTATTAAACATGTAGTTTGTAATTCAGGACAGCTTTTAGAAATCATTGGAATGGCTACTTTGTAGATGCAGAGGGTAACAATGACCCTATTGACCCGGACTATTTACGAGTTATGATGACAACTCACCCTATGAAAGAATGGATTAAATATGTACTGACTTTGGAAGATTTCTCTCTTATAAAAGTAATTATGGCCATCAAGATTATATCATATTATCTTGCTGTCCTTTCTCTAGATATCTGGATTGACACCCCATTCTCAACTAAATAAACCTAACATATGTTTTAATTTCATTTTGAAACTTTTGCATTATAGTAAAAAACTATTTGAGAAATCTTTCGTTTGTATAGATTTTACAGCAGAATTTTTAATTATTTGGCCAAACCTATAAAATAAATGACCTAAAAACTCTGGAAATGATTCCTTAGCACTGGACACAATTTGTATATGTTTTAGGAGATTATCTTAGATGAGAGTCGAAGGAGTGAAAAGGCAAAGAACTTTGACGAACCTACTCGACCCAAACGAAGTAAGAAATTAAAAACGTACTCATATATACATGTAAGTCAATATTTCCATATCAACTGAATGTGGCAGCTATTTTTATTTCACAAATATAGATAATGTTGAGATTCCTGGTGAACCCCTTGTTCAGCGCATCATTAGTAGCAAACAGCCGTTAAGATTGGGAGATGGATTTATTGGTGAACTGGACGAGGTAAGGCAGTCAATAAAATATTCAATTTGATTTTAAAAGAATAGACGGCATACACGATTTTGGTAGAAAACATTCAATTATTTAGTTCGGATCAAATTCAACTCAGAGTTTGAATATACCATAAGAAAGGGAAATAAAGAATCATGGTAATAGTAACTATGTTACAGAAGTCTACCGGAGGCAAAGTTTATTGAATAGGGCTCTCAAGACCATTTAAGATACAAACAATATATTATAAGTAAACTAATACACATATACAGACCTGGAAAATGATTTATAATATACGTAATCTTTTAGTTTGTGCTCTGTGACTTTGACCCTGATATGGACGCCATATTGGCATTGAAAGAGAGCAACGTGATTCCCACTCAACCTCTTGGAGTATGGGATGTCTAGAGAATTGGTTTGAGTTATTTTGTAAAGCTTAAGGAATAATGATCAGCCTCTGTTGATATTCCATATACTGTAGTTGTGTTACTTAATTAATTGCGATTCGACCTTTATCCACTCCTAATTTACATTTCACTAAAACGTGGATTGACTTGTCTGTGAGGACATACAGTATATAACCTGATGACTTGGAGGTTAATAATCTGTTACAGAGATTATGTTACAATGACTTCTCCGAATGCGATTCGACCTTTATCCACTCCTAATTTACATTTCACTAAAACGTGGATTGACTTGTCTGTGAGGTTATACAGTATATTACCTGATGACTTGGAGGTTAATAATCTGTTACAGAAATTATGTTACAATGACTTCTCCGAATGAAAATTTTGAATTTTACTTAATTAATTGCGATTCGACCTTTATCCACTCCTAATTTACATTTCACTAAAACGTGGATTGACTTGTCTGTGAGGACATACAGTATATAACCTGATGACTTGGAGGTTAATAATCTGTTACAGAGATTATGTTACAATGACTTCTCCGAATGAAAATTTTGAATTTTACTTAGGGGTACTATTTGAATTAACATCCATTAAATTGATTTGTTGCTCTATTAACAGAGACGCACTTAGCTTTAATGGGTGAAATACATAAATGTAAAGCTAGCCATGGTGTATCGTTTAAACTACAACACTTACGCCTAAAGTATAGAGTGCCCCAAAAGCGTTAATATTTTATATACTTGCTAGTAGATATTTGCTATTTAGGAATAATCACTTTCAAAAGTATATGGTTTGGACATCTTCAAAACGCTACATGCCATTTGACCTATATCCGAAGATGGTATCATTCTTTCAATGGCATCCGATCATTGCTTTATCTTACCCTAAAGAAAGGGAGGAGGATAATAAATAAAACATTATTTGTGCCATTTACAGACATCGATAATGCCCGATATTGCAATTGTATTTATAAGACGTTTTCTTTAATAGGTCAGTTTTAAGCTTATTTTTTTCCAGGGTCTATGCGTGATACAACCTTAAACATTATTGAACGCGTAGTTTAAATGTGAAATAAGAGTTTACGACATGTTTAGGTCGTCTACATCAAAATGAAAGCCGTTCGTGTGTAGCTGATTACTAAAAGACGTATCGGAATATTCAAAATATTCAAATCATATCGAGGCTTTATCGTTAAATGGATAACATGATGTAGGATATTTGTGACGTATAAAGACCCCTACAAAATATGCTGTGAAGTGACTGATTAATTGCAAGTTCAAGTAATTCAAGATGGCCGCATATTTATGGCAATTTGGAATTAGGTAAGGCGTTGAATTATATTGTTAGATAATTCAGAAAGTCAGTATGACTTCAATCGTACCTATTTTGTGTGTGTACAATTAAAATTAAGAACATTTATCCTCTTAGGGAAGTGATGTATTGTATAAAGATGAGATATGTTATTAATATTTCAACTTTCATATTTTAGTTTAATTTGTACACTGGGATTTGGAGTGGCACAAATCGAGCGTACGTATATTTAAAAAGATTGAAATTCTTATTCTTTAACTAATTCTACTCATATTGTATAATCTTGGTCATTTTGAAATTGAAAATAAGAATATGAACGACCGTTTACGATCAGAAAAATATTGGTCCACACTCTAACCATGATAAAATATATATATTCGAGGGTACATTCATTCCATTTCATTAATCACATACTTTTAGAATATTTAGTGATAAAATGACGAATGTTGACATCTTAAAGGAATATTCCATAACGATAACCATATATATGCTTGCCATGTTTAGCAAAACACGCAAAAATGTTTTGATATGGTCAAATTTGATCACTTAGAAATGTGATGCTCAATTCCAGTAAGCTGCCATCTTTTAAAATTTCACACAGGAAGTGATGTCATCGACTCACAACTTTGCATATAGCATTAGGTGAGGAGCTATTAAGAATTACAAAACCAGCTAAATATTCTTTTTCAACTTTGTATCTTATTTAATCCTTCTGAAAATCTCTTCTTTTATTCTAAGTTGACAAGCCCTGAAAATATTTTTGCACAAAAAGGATAGATCACTTGTCTAGAAGTGATTTTGTGCTACTTTCCTATACTGTTATGGGCAAGGTTATAGAAGTTGAGAGTTGATGACATCACTTCCTGCAAGAAATCTTAAAAGATGGCAGCTCACTGGAAATAAGCACTAGATTTTTAAATGATCAATATTGACCATATTAAAACATTTTCCCATGTTTTGCTAAATATCTAAACTATATATATGATTATAGCTACCATATCAAGAGAGAAGGGGTCTGGCAAGGAATATTCCTTTAAGAATTTGTAAAAAATCTTGAACATTTGTCAAAGATGATTCTCAAGATGAGCATCTTCATGTTCTCGATTTGTTTTGTATTTTTCTTACGAACCACATCCATTGCAAAGTTGTATCGGCGATAAGCTGGGTCGTGAGTAGAATTTTAAACCCACCTATAATGTCTACAACATAATGTGTATATCACGTTGCAAAATCGAGTTTTTATGCATCCCTGCTTTATTTGCTATTTCCCGTATAGTAATTGAATTATTGTTGCAATGCCTTTCACAGACAGAGCGTATTTTTGGATTAAAAACAAGAGCGCATGTAAAAAACGTTGCAAAATTAGGGAAAGCTACAAATATCAAATAGGATATGAGATGAAAAATAGGGGCTCCAACTCAGGACCATATACTTTTGTTATCCCTTGGAATAACATGTTAAACGAAAACAACTGAAAAAGTGACCAGGCTCAACTCATCAAGCGAATAATAAGTCAACAATCGTTCCTTTGGATCAAAAGTGCCGGAAATAAATTGTGCAAGTTAAAGTTTACAACCGGCCTTCGTGGGGTAAACGATTGAGAGTATATACACATCGCATTATTGCCAATTATACGAGAATTTCGAGCAACAGAAACAGGATAAGATCATCATAAGCTATTATGAGTAAATATTGAAGCTCCTGTGGCTACACGTTTTGACAAAACTTAAAAAATCACCTTCTTCTTTTCCACCCACTGTAAAATGATAGATTCTCTTTGTTTTCCAGGTGGCGTCAATACATTTGGAGAAACATTCGAACTTTCAGCCTCCGAATTGGGTAATGTGGTATTGCATTCACATTTGTGTCGCAATTGACAAATATTTGATGAAGATAAAAAGTTAACATTAATGGATGTTTTTGAAAAAAGTAGAAGCAAGCTTACATTATACTAAACAATTGGTTGAATTTCTGATCCCGGATACCCGTATAGTACATATAAGCCATATAACCTATACAGTAACATATGAAGCAAATACAAACCTGAATATAAACATTTTGTTAATATCGAAGTTTTAATTTGAATAACTAGTATTAAGATTTCTTTAATTTGAAAAATAAATAAAACTAAGCTATATAGGAAATTATCGAGTGATTACAATAACTAGGTATAATGCCAGCTTTTTAAGTATTTCTAAATGCAATAACATAATATCTAACGTCACGTATCGCAACACGTAACGCCAAAACGTCATAACGTAATTAATGTAGTTTCGACGAAAGAATATCCAATTCCTTCCTTTACCTTATTGAATTGACTTTACGGTTATAAAAATTGTATGGATGATATAACAAAGACAAACGGAAATAAGTTAACATTTGCCCATTTATATCTAACTTCAGCAAGTTGCGAGAAGAACAACGGGTTTACATTAGACAGGGAAAACTGCTGTGGCTTTGTACGATGTTTTGGTCGCAAGGGAATCAGAATGCAGTGTCCTTTCATGTCTGTTTGGCATCCTCAGAAATGCATTTGTGTTCGAGCAGAAGAGTCAGATGAATGCGTAATATTAGGATGTCCAAGTAGGTCGAAATATGTGTCTACATACAATGAAACGTATTTAAATCGAAGCAATGTTAACCTTTTATAATCTACTGGAAGGAAAAGTTTCTATTCCTACTGTTATTTTTCTTTTAAATCTAAATAATCTGAAACATGCCTCTCAACTAACTAATAAAAGGAACAAGTTCAAAAAAGGAATCATCCCTGCCTTCATCGAAGCCTTGTAGTATTCATATACTATTTTAAAAGAATTATCGTAATATACCCTCTAGTATATCAAAACAAATTATTTTCCAGACCCTTTGCCGGATTTTGACGATTCATGCCCAGATTTCCTTGAAGAACGTGAGTCAATCCTTTATTACTGCATTTAAGCATTTTCAAGCCTTAAAAACAGCTCGTTATCTTCAAATGTATCACTTATTATTTGTATTTAAACAGTGTCATGAGATGAAGATTAAGATTTATCCAAACCTATGGTTGAGATTTATTTGAACCTTACCCTTCTAATAATATAAATCAAAATATAGATTTCTTTGTTTTAGAGCAGTGTTGTTTAAGAACAGATGGTTACGAATCTCAAATATACACAGGGATGAACGATACAGCTTTCTACATGTACAAGGGCCAGCTGCAGGAATGCCCACCTGGGCAGATATTTTATGTCGATTCATGCTGTTGTGAGGGAGAAGTTGATTACGGTACTCAGTTTGCGACATGTTCTCGTAGCCAACATAATTCTTTCGTTATACTTATTTTATTTAGAACTGGCATTATGTGAAACTTTGTGTGTAAGGAGGGGTTGAGGGAAGGATGAAATGACCATAGTCTTACACTTTCCTTTAATTGTTGGGAGTCATAGCTATGTCTAGCTATACACTAAATTAGACCTTACTATCATATCCTGATTGTTATTATTTCTTCACGTTATAATTTGACTAAATACGAGTTCAAATAATCTTGATTTACGTCATTAAAAATTCAAAAGTCAGTCAAAGTGAAATCACATTTGAAATCTACATTCAAACTTACTTCTAGATATGTAGTTTTAAAAGTTTTAATCAACTTTGAAAATTTAATTTTCTTTGGAAATGTGACTTCTTGGTCGGGGAGATTCTCCATATACCCCAAGTTAGAAAAGAACAAAAAGTGAAATAGCTTCTTAGATAATATTTTCTTTTACTATATCTTATTTGTATAATTACCAGATACATGTACATAAGGGAATTATGAAGATTGAAGCACTAAAACTGATGGATATTCAAGTTTAAGGGAACCTTCTTCTAAATGCCATGTAAGGTAACCACGAATCAGCCACATCGCGGTGAAAACGGAAACTAATATACCTATTCGCAAGCACTGTAGGGTAATTCGGGGAGTCGAAAAATTATGTTGTAATGAGCAAGTGTTTCAAAGCTGAATAGGTAGTTTTTTTAATTTTATGTTTGGTCGATTTAACCTCTACAATTATTAAAATTTCAGGTCTCTCGGCCCCGTGTGCTTATTTCTCATTCGACAAAAATTACAAGGACATATCTGGAATACACAGTGATCCTTTTGATGTAAGGAAAACCGCGGGAAGTCCAGCTAATCCTTTGGGAGAGTCTGTACTGTTTGGATTTTGGTCAAACATACTTATTCCTCGATTTGCCAATGTTGAGTTCGAATTTAGCTTATACATCTGTTTGTGGTTTTCCCTGGACGAACTTGCCTCTCAGATTATTCTACACAACGGAGCTGAAGGTGGTGCCCACTCGTCAATCTCTATTGAGGTAGTTATAACCGAATCCGAGAATTTAATTGTGGCTGGTGTGAAGGCATGTGATAGAGTTCAGGATATCTTCATACCGTTAAATGTAAGTTTTAAAGCAATATATTTTCTAATAATAATAAAGTATGATATTTGGTAATTTCTAAAAAAATATTCTAAAATTAAAGCACTCTTTGGAAAGTTTGTTGCTCAGTAGTAAGGATGACTAACCTTCAATATTATTTGACTAACGATTTTAAATCTGGAGTTTCTGCTGGATTCGATTACTTTTGCCTGTATTCTATTGGGACTCCAAATGTCAGATCTGGAGTCCATTTACCAATTTGTGTTTATTAAACCAGATTGAATCTCGAGTCTTTCTTTAGTCAGTTTTCCTTTTGATAAAGACTCTAGACTTATTGTATCATTACTCAAGTTGAAGTCTGGGGTCATTTTTCAGTCAACAAACTAAACAGATAACAATCTAACTAGGCAACCAATTAGACAACCCCCAACAAGACAGCCAAACAACCTGACAACCAACCAACTAAACCGATTAAAGACGGGCAAAATTGAACAATAAAGTAAATTTTGAAGATCAAAGATCGATGTCAAGCCTATTGGCCTATTCAGTATGGAGTGTTATATTCAACCATTCTATTTGTATATTCTGTTTTCTTAGGAAAATCTTGTTGTTGGACAATGGTACCACATTTGTCTTTCTTACGACAAGGAAGGCTTTGTTCACGTTGACCTTGATGGATTGAGGTACACAGACGCAGAAAGAAGTAAGACAAAATCACAAGTTTTGCCTCTCTGTCCCAGATGGTAACTTAAAGGCCCACTTTGCGAATTTTCAACGTTTTTGGGCAAAATAAAGACTTACATTTGAATTTCATTAGTATGTCCAATGTATTGATAAGAACTTTATCTTTCATTTGACACCAACAACAGTTAAAAACGGATCACATCAAAGCTTACAATAAATTATCAAAAAACATTTTCAATCTGTCAAGCTTTATATATCAAGTTTTATCAATGTCATTAGAAGATGGCGAAGTTGTTTGTATAACATGATACATTCATTTTCATAGAAGTGCCACCATCTTTTAAAACAACACTTACTTAAAATATGCACTTTGTTTAACATGTGCATGCATGTCTAATGATCTCTGGACTTCAAATGCTTTTTTCTATGCGACTTATTTTTTTCTTGGTTCAATATTAAAGCAAATCAAACTGTGTGTCATATTTGAGCGAATGTGTGAGTAACATGTTTCAGTGATTATTAAAAAAATTCTTCTAAATTAAGTATAGTGGGCCTTTAAATTGAAAAGAAAGGAAAAGAAAAAAAGAAAACACCAACTTCCCGAGAAACAGATTCAACGGAACAAAACATTTTTATCACGGTGACAGCCATTATTTCTTAAATGGGGCCTTTAACCGATATTCTATCCTGAGGTATCACACCATAAAATTAAAAACATGGATATGCAACGTCAAAAATGATCTGTTGCAACTTTGTGGTATATGAGGAACATCTGCATAGCTAGTCCCAAAGGACAAAATAAAAGAGCACCGGTAGTTTAGATTAAAAATATATTGTATACCTGGATCGTCTGTAAAACACATACTTATACACATGTTAATTACATTAAATTAATATACATATATACAGGGTGTTTCATATGTATGCACTCCCCTCTAAAATCATACATATAGCATTGTAACCCTATCGTGATATATATAATTTTGTTCCTCATAGCTACACAATGTTACATAAGATTGCAAAGTCTCAGAATCCAGGGGTGATATTGAAAAAATATACATCGTATCAACTGGGTCATTTAGGGGAATTTCTGATCTTTTTGAGGGCAATTTAAAGGACAAATTTAGTTTCCGTATTGCACATTTCTAGCAGTTGTCATCATGGTAGAGTTCATATTATATGTGTGTGACAGTTATTCACAAAGATATATATCTAGGATCCGTACAGTGTGTTAAAGGGAGGCCAGGCACCTGGCATCACCTTTATTACTAAAAATGGGAAGCGGACAAAATGAACAGATCACCGAACTGGGTCCAAAAATGCTTACAAAAATGCATATAAATTACCCCATACCCACATACTTTAATACATTGTATTTATTCTCAGGGAAACCCTGGATTTTTGCCGTAACTTTTCAAAATGATACAACAGGTACAAAATGATAAATAACATGACAGGGTGGCAATGTTACAAGTATGAGTTTAGATAGGGGTGCATACATATGAAACACCCCCTAGATTCAATTTTTTTGTTTAGATCGGATAGATATGATCGATTTGATTAACTTAGCCTTAACTGCCCTCGGCGATATTGTGGTTGTGTTGAATAATGTGGATTTTGGTCCAATTCTTAACCCAGAGATCGGGGCGTTTAGACAGCTTCTGGATATAGTCTATGCATTTGTGGATCCTTTAACAGATGGTACGTCATAATGTATATATAATCAACATAACTATTTTTCTTAAAATATATTCCAAACGATAAAATGCGAAGATATCAACAAGGTACAGTATATATTATGCTGAGATTGATTTAGGAGATAGATAGCAGATGAAAGGATGGGTATCGATATTGTGAACTGAATTCAACAATGTTTTTTCTCTTAAACAAATTATTGAAAACATTCTGTAAAAAACACGGTCCTTTATGTAATGAATTATACTCTATATTAATTTTGTTTGTTTGTTTTGCAGAAGAATATTTTTTCGGGATGGAAAATTGGATCTTGACTCGCGACCAAATGGTGAAATTACTTGTAGATTACCTAACGAAGACATATAGACAAGACGAATTCTTTGACCCTTTTGCTGAAAATCTTGATATTATGATTAACATTGTTAATAGACCAAGAGATATTACTACATTATTATCGGAAGCAAGTAAACAGGTAATTGATTGAAATGAGTAGTTCTTAATCAAATGAAACATAAAACAAAAAGGATCATAAAACCACTTTAAATCACAATCACCCATATGGTATACTTATATGTTTGTTTGAAGACACAATTACCAAATCATTTATAATACCAGGTCGATAGAGTCTGAGAAAATCTCTTGGATTAAGAGTGGAATGACTTTCTATTTGAAATATTCACAGGATATATAAAATACTTTCATATTTCAATATTTCAAGGAATCAACCTTTTGGAGAAAATATGGTTACTACAGTAGGCGGGCAATTATATAAAATGCCAAACTAATAAATTCTACAATTATTTTACTGTCAAAAAGCATTCGACTTATAGATAATAATTTTAGATAGTTAGGTTCAAAGTATTCAATACTAAAGTTTATCAAATGTTTTAAAAACACGTTTTTATAAGTATAAAACTTTATAATATGACTCGAGTCATATATAGGAAGCCTTTTGAAGTCCCTAGAGCTGTGATGCCAAATTGTATAAGGCAAAAAGCCTTAATTGTTTGAACATTTGAAACCAAGACCGTAAAGTCCATGGAATAATTTTGAAGAAACTCCACAAATTCACCACACATTGAATGAGGATAATTTATGCCAAATCTGAAGTGCAAAAACACTATGGTTAGAAAGTTATTTGGTTTTATTACTTTGACAGTTACCTCTGACTACGTTTTAATATTTTCCTAGTACAACTGTCATTTGAGCAGGTGTCCAAGTCATCATGTTTTACAACTTAGTGACAACAGGAGCTATACATACACAGTCTATTCTTTCTTTTCCTGAAAAGATGAACATATTTGAATTAGTGTTTTCCAAGATAAAGTGATTTTCCGTTCACGTTTTTAGTATTTTGCTAGTACAACTGTCTTTTGAGCAAGTGTCCAAGACATCATGTTTTACAACTAACTAACAACAGGGGTTATACATACACGGTCTCTTTTTTCTGTGCTGAAAATATGAAAATAATTGGATTAGTATTTTCAAAGATATAGCGATTTCTTTGGGTTGCGTTTTTTGAACACCCTGTAGTTACTGATTTGTTGAGAAATATAATACATGTCAATAGAATTTTTCTCATATTGGTACATGAGTTGATTTATCAATAAAAAATAATGGAATAATTTCCAAAATGATTATAATTTTAGATCAGTGATAGTCTCTTACCAGTCGCAAAGGAGATTGGAGACCCATTCCTTGTACAGGCAATTCGAGACCTTTTTATTCGTTTAACAAAGCTAGAATCCATCATCTCTGACATTGATCCACTGCTTCAGGACCAGGCTGGCTTTATGTTTCACAAAATTGACGATTATATTACTTTGGGAAGAATATCTCTTGGTAAGTAAGCCCTTGTTAATTCCAAAAGTATGTCGTTTAAAAAAAGTTTACCTTAATGTGTCAAATTAATTGTAACCTTTTTGAATCGAAATACATGATACACTCTAGGAATGGACCTCTGGGAAGGAATTTGTCCACCATCTTTGTAAAAACATAATATTTGATTACTCAAACACCGGTTGACACATTTGGTTCAAATGTTATATGCAGCTGATACCTGAAAAAAGGTCCATTTATAAAAACTGTTTTGAAGATGACCACTGAATTAAACATTTGCCGCCATATTTTCAAAAATATCATATATGGAATTTAGCACAAAAGGACCACTGCTCTAGGAGGCCTTTTCAATGTCTGAATTTAAAATGACCCCTAAATGTTCATAAAAATGTAATATGCTGATGCCATAAGAATAGAGAACTCTGCTTGAGAAGGAATCGTCAAGAAGGCTTCTTAATTCACAATGGCCACGATATATCAAAGAATGTAACTTATTAAAGCTCATTAAGGACATTTTCAGATAATCCTAGTTAATCTGTTCCGTCCTGTTGATTTAGCACTCGTTTCGATACTTTTAAATGTTAAAACACATATTCCTACATACAATTTCACCTGTTGAGCACCTTTCAACATTACCGTTTACTTATTAATGAAGGGTCTAGCAGGGGTCCATAAAATTAAAATATATTAAATCTTGATATTTTTGAAGTTTACAACTGATCTACTAATGGCTTGTTTGTTTGAAAGGTAGTTAGCATGATATATGTATTGTATTAGTTAACTTAAAAATGATACCTTAAGTCCGTCTGTATTTTTTGTTCAAAGTTTTAAAAATTATTGACACATTTATTTCACCTTCATTACACATCTATTTTGTTCTTAAGGATTTGACAAGTAAGAGAATACTAGTATTTATTTAAAGTAAAATCCATGTTTATTTATTATCCTTATCATCGGTGTTCCCCAGGGTTGCATTTATTGCCACGCCTATTTTGATTAATTGATTCATGATTTTTGATTCTTGGTCCAATTGGCAATAAAAGTTGAATATATGAAAATACATAAATGTATAGATATATCGGATGGCGGACGGGGGTGTGTTGGGTGCATCCCTATGGCACTCCCTCACTAAATTGAAGAGGAAACTTTTTATTATTATTTTTTCTAATTGACTCAAACACTTTGGAAGTGCATAGAAATCACTGAATAACATTGTACACTTGTACCCTTCCACTAGAAAACAATAGTTTTTTTTCTATTTGTTATTGTCTCAAAAACACATTTCACATTTTGTGATCATTTTTTTATAATTCATGATTTTGTAAATTAGAACCCTGCTGAAATCTCAAATTAATAAAAAATCTGTTATGTTATATGTTACTCAACATATTTAGATAAAGTCTTAGTTTAAAAATAGTAATTATAACGAATATAGACTAATTTAAATCGTTAGACTGGAGCAAAGAATTAAAAATATCAAACATTATCTAATAAGTTATACCGCCCACTGTAAATGTGAAGTCCATTTTGATCTTATTTTTCTGTCGAAATTGTATAAAATATTCTCGATGTCAAAGAGTTGATGATATTTTTACTTATTTACTATCTATTAAAAAGAAATATTCAAATAAAGAAAAATTATTAAAAAATGACCCTTGCGTAATCCCATATAAATGATAAACGATAATGTTGTGTGATGCCCAACACGCAATACTATGTCCAGTGATATTAAATCTATCAATACAATTTATTTCAAACCTTAGTACAGAAGAGGTAATTTAAAAATCACTGAGGAGCGCACTGAGAGGCTCATTTTTGCCCAAGTGTAGGGTTTTGTCCAGATTGTATAACCCAATGTCATGGCTAAATGACCTTTGGTCAAGAATGACATCCAATATGACCATTCAGTTCAAAATAGCCACCATTTTCATTAAAATATAACCTAACATCAGTTGAATAATATACCAATTGACAGATTAAGTATACTTTGATGCCTCATTGACATAAACATTTGCTGAAAAGAGCTTATTATACTTTCTGGTAATTTTATATTGTACTTGTAATGTTCAAAATTGCTACAAGGATTTAATAAAAATTTGTTTCAGTCAAGCCTCTTCGACTTCCAACAACGCGAACATCAGTTCTGATACCGCGAACTACGTTCCTTGCACTCGAACCACAATTCTCTTCTAATCCCCTCTTGGGGTAATGACTACTTCGTATTTTCTGAGAAATATAGGAATAAACAGATAAACTAAAAAACCCAAAACGAACGCATTTCTCTTACATACAATTGCTGTTTATTTTCTGTAGGTTGGTTAAAACGGAGAAAAAGATCAGTCGACGCTTTAATAGATACGTTACCTTCCAAAGAAAAGGAGCATTTCAGTCATTTGTTGAAGAGATCAAACTTGCTGGCGGAGGGTCAAGAAGAGTCGCGTCAAAAGAGAGGTATAGATTAAGCAGATTATGGACCACTTGTGAATTTGGAACTCGGCATATCTTTTTCTAAGAATAATATGTAGTTGAATTAAATCAAAAGAGCTGTCTCGAGAAATGAACTACTGTTTTGATAAATATTAAATTTAAATATAATTGCTTTAGTTTTAAGTTGTATTATCTATTTTATATAAACTAATCATTACACTCAAATTTCTTTCCAGAGGTAGTAGATATACCGGGAGTACCGTCGATTGCGCCAATTACTAGGTCAAAATATCCAATTAGGGTTGGGGATGGATTAGTCGGAGCAATTGATGAGGTAATAATTGTCTTATACCTATTGCGTGACAATCACAGAATACGTGTTCATTAAGTTTCAAAAATCAATCATACATGCGTTGCACTGACTTGCTTTGACTACTGTAAAATATAATGTATTTTTTCAAAAACCCATTTATTTAAGTACAATAACAAAGGTTATCCTTGCATATTCATAAAAATAATAAATATTATCTAAAATTCATGCACTATTAAAAATGTTATCAAGAACACTAGATATAGTGCTATTGGCCAAGCTTGTAATTATACGCAGTATACACTCCCCTCCATAAGTTTGGCAACCTTTTTTCCCTCATTGAACTACGTGTTAAAGCCTCTTCACCTTTGAATTTTTGTTTACTTAACCTGCGATGAAAATACTTATACTATTGATGAAAACGTAATTTGACTTCAATTCCAAATTTTCTCAATTTTTTTCCTCAATTACAATAGGTCGAAAATTGATGATAAATTTTGGAAAATCGACATTCCCATGTTAACCAATGAGAAATGGTAGGTTTGCCGCAAGTCATATGACAGAATATCCATCCATCCGAGTCCTTGCAAAAAATACGAGTTAGGCAGGTAATTGAATTTGCTAACTTTATTTAACAAAAAATTGATATGTTTCTTCAGGTTCAACAAAGTTATAGGGCTTTAAAGTCAAAATTGTTTTTCAAAAAACCTCTCCCATTGAAATAACACAGGAGGCGAAAAATTATTTTCAAAAATGACTTTGAAGCGCTGTAACTTTAATATTCATCAAATAAACTAAACACTTAGTGTTCAAAAAAGTAACACAATTCAATTTTCTATATAAAAATATTTTTTGCTGAATCTTTTACTGAAAAGATATCCTGATTTCTGATTTGCCCCGAACCCTCCATTTCCCATTGGATTACATGGGAATGACGATTTTCAAAAATAAGTTATCATCAATTTTCGACCTATTGTAATTGAGGAAAAAAATTGAGAAAAATTGGAGGTATTGGAAATAAAATCAAGTTACGTTTCCATCAATATCATAAGTTATTTCATCGCCGGTTAAGTAAATAAAAATTCAAACGTAAAGAGGCTTTAACACGTAGTTCAATGGGCGAAAAAGGTTGCCAAACTTATGGAGGGGACTGTATACTCCCTAGATCTGCTTGTTGTAGAGAAGACTATACCTTGATATATACATGTACATGCAGACTGTTTCTTATTTAAGCTGGTGATATGCAATTTTGTACCTAATGAAGAGGCGCAATTCCTGCTGTACAACAACAACATTGTACCACGTCATCCTGAATCTGAACATAGAGATGTTTAGAAAGACGGCAAAATGGAAGAAGACTAAATTCAATGTAAACAAATTGACATGTCTTTAAAAACCATACAATAAACATAATATAGCATTGAATGGCATATTTGTCTTCTGTGTACCCTTTGCATTCGTTTGACTACACTTCTTAATAGAGAGCTTCGTCTTTGAGCTTTGTAGTTTAACTAGACTCTGCACGCAGGGTATCTTCTGTGTTTCTTAAGAAGCTTGTAATCATTAATGTTATAGCTCCACACAGAATTTACATGCGTCTTTAGCAAATCACTCAACTTTAAACATATGGGCCGACATATTGACAGGAGGAATTTAACTCATGGTTAGTATGGTGAATACGAACCCACTAAAGCGAATAAATCTAAACGAAAACCTATTGCGGACGTCGAAAAATTGTATTCCAGCCTGTTAATCGTCGTTCTGGTTTCAATCCCGTTCGTGCATACCGTATGGAAACGGAACTAACCCAGCCAAGTAAATTATGTTAGTACCAACAAAAATTTCTAAAAAGCAAGATCAATGTCCTGTTTAAGAACCCATAATCTTAAAATTGGAAATTGATTCTACCAATACTTCCCCACGTGAATCTACTTGTTGAGATTCGATTACGTTAAATTCTTCTAAAAATGGGGATTTCAGCGAGGGTGTCATTGACTTAGGATGGGATATAACTGACTTCCTATACTTTTGAAAAAACATTGATGTGTATGTATATGTTTAGATTTTGACTCCTTTTTATTTAAGATTACAAAAATAATGCAAACATATTCTGTACCTAATATCATGGCTCTGGCAGGCATTTTGCACATGATAATATCAAACATCATTGGTCAGATCAAGCCATGTAGTACAATGTTTGTCAGTCGAGACTGATTATTTTTTTCTATAAGGAATTGAACGTCTGACTATTTGGTGAGTGTGAAAGACACTCTGAGTCATACAATTTGATGTTAATTTGGGTGTTAATCAATTTTGAAAAGTTTCTGTTAATTGGTGTGATCTACTCTTAATTGAAAAACCCAACACTGCGTGTGTCATTATACATGTGCATAACCAACAATAGGATGACAGAATACACTGGCATTGAGGAAATCAAAAACAAGTCAGCCATTTTGAAAATGGACGGATAGAAAACATCAGATCGAGAGAGAACTGATACACTATTATAACACTGTGGCTAGTCGATCTATGTGGATGCAGTCAGGCACGTGTAATGTTTCGTGAGTACCCGCCTCTGTACTTTTCAATGGAAGAATTTTGCACTTCTGTTTAAATAATCTATATTTACTCATCCGTGTATATCATACTTCATTGAAATAGAAAACCAAAGCTACACTATAAACACACATTCTCTGATATTTTTACGAAGAATAGATAACTCAAACGAGTTCACTCGACCAGTTTTATCATCTCGCTCATAGCTGTGAGAAGGTATGTATAATTTGCCATAGGTTTACCTTGTAATGGGGAATAAAAAATTCAAGTAATATAATTATTTCACAAACACAAATATGTCTGTGTGAAGTAAAATACAAATACAATGCGTCCTATAATATTTTTGGGGTTATGTTATGAAATATCCGCTTTAAAAAAGCAATTTAATTATGATGTATCATGTGGATTAGTAGACGTTCTGATTGGATTCATTGAACAGACTGGCTAGGTTTCAATTGAATCATTTTGAATGTGTGTATTTTTAATATTTTAATCCACGGTGTCCAAAAACAATAATAACGCTATATTGGTAATTGGAAAGATTCCACTTACCACGATTTCAAAAAATTGTAAATAAATAATATTATTCTTGAATTATGGTCATTTGTTTCAAGGAATCTGGAGGCTCGTTCAGCTGAGCTGACAAAATCAATGGATGGTCCAACTGTTGGCTGCTCATTGTCACTTTCAAGGAATGTTAATGGCTCTGAAACTTGTAGCCTTGCCCAAGTCGGTATTTATTTACTCATCTGATCTTGAATTATTACCACCTAGTACAATCCAATGCATCATCGCTGATATTATGCTAAGTTATTCAGCGGTTCCGAGATTCCCATAATACCTTATAGGCTACCTAAGGGTATCGCAAAACCATATTGATTGACAATATGGACATGGACACAACGTGTGACTTCAGGCTGATTGACCAATCAAAACGTTATCAGGTTGACCTGCATAAAAAGCAAACTACCCGTCTAGGACTTGAAATTCAATGATTTGATCGAGTGTTTCTTGAGAGTTACAATATATTATGTTGTTAAATGTACATTGGAATGTAAGCAGTCATTAATACTCGTCTAAATGAAATCATGCAATTCAATGTTGAAATCAAAACTGAATTCGTGATGGAAATGCACGAAGACCTAGTCCGACAATGTAGGGCCGTCGTTGATTTGTCAAATTTTACCGACAAAAACATTGGGTCGGTAAAGCACGTGGCTTTCTCTTGGGTCAAGGCGGTTATAATAGAAATCAAGATAAGTAAAAGAGACCGACTTGGGCAAGGCTATGAAACTTGATTTGTGGGTATTCCAGTGGGTCGATGGGTCTTTTGCTCTGAATTCACTTCATTGGCGTACCTAATTTCAACATTTTCATTGTCATCATTACATGTTATCGACCCGTTTTTCAAATTAACAGTATTAGCGATAAAACCATGGTTTTTGAGCCTATGGGATCGACCAGGTGTCCGTCCATTGGTCCGTCCATCCGTTGCTCCGTCCGTCTGTCAACATTGGCTGCACAAATTAGAACTGCTATTCGGATTGAGTCATTTTCACATTCATTTTATGCATATCCATAATGAATATTTGACATATAATCGCCATTTCCCAAATTCGGCCGGTTTCCGAGAAATTGCTGATTTTTAAATTTCTAGAAAAATCGATCTGATGATAGCCTTATAGAAAGTCAAGAGAAGTGAAGAAAAGATTGAAAAATACCAGTCCAGTCCATTTCCAGGTCCAAGTCCATGTCTAGGTCCAAGTCAAGGTCCAGTTCAGGACCAAGTCAAGATCTAGGTCTAATCAGGTTTAATCTAGGTCAAAGGTCAAGAACTAGGTCAAAACCAGTATTTTGTCATTTTTTCAATTTTCTCAGTCGTCCTTTAATATTTTTGCTCCGTTTTTTTAATCATGTTCCTTTGAAAAAAGCTAATCCCTACAGGCAAGTTGTTTTTGATCACTCTTACCGTTTTTGAGATATGTCATCCGAAAAGTAGGTCACAATAAAAAAAGTTCTTGGAATTCAATGTATGAGCTATGAAATATGTGAAGAATTGTCCAAGGAATCCGAATCTGCAAACAAGATTTTGATCCGACTTCCGGTCGGAAGCTATGGCATTTTGAAATCTCAAAAATCGCTATTTTGGTATCCCATGTTAAGTCAATTGGGCTTGAGAAAATTATCAATTGTAACAACACAACACTAGATACAGCTTGGATGCAGCCAACTTAATAAGAATCTACAATAGAAGCCGTCCTCAAAATCTACTTTCCTTCAAAATTTGGACACTAAAAGGCCTATGTCAAAATCTAGGTCAAATTCATAGTTTTTCCTTTGACTACTACAAATCATATCTGAACCAACAACAAAGGACTCATCTTTTATTGATCTCATATTTACCAATACTTTTGTTTGAAAATCAGGATATACATTCCTCTGAAGGTTCTACACTGTGAGAGCACAGGACCGTGGGTCCTTTATTTCATCTGTAATGGCATTTTCCAGTTGATGGGTTTATATATAGTATTTTTCATGAGTGTGTCTTTAGACTACTTGTAGTGGGGTGGCTAATTACTTTCCTGAATGAGGAATGTTTATCCAAACAATGGATACAAAGAAAATCTGGCCAGTTGTCCATCAGTAAATAAATCATCATGATAAAAGTATAATTTATTAAAGCATCCATTTGTTACCGTTCTGAATCCAAATGATACATAGGTACATCCATTTTATACATATATGTTGACGTTTACGAAATGTTTTTCAAATATCTTCCCTATAACAGGAATATGGAAGCTGAAACTTTCACACATTGTCATACTATGTATATTGAATATGTATGCAAGATTTCAAGTCACAATGTTAAGTAGAATCTCTGAGATCACTTACCTTGATTTACTGTCGTATTTTTGCAATGATCCCATTCCCTATAATGTACGCGAGTACCCACGAAACATTACATATAAATGACTGCATCCACATAGATCGACTAGCCACAGTGTATAATATTTTGAATGAAATGTCACTGCAAAATATTTATTGGCTGCAGAATAAGATATTTGGTGTTGAAACAATGAGCTTTAGCAGACTTATTACCTTGAGTTTTTTTTAAATCTTCTTGGTGCTCTCAAAGGGATCTGATTTTGGTCATTAGAGCTGGAAGTCTGTGCAGCATGCATCATAGGCTGAAAAATCTGTCAAATAAAGGATGCATACATGTATTTCGAGAGTGTGTACACCACCACGAGAATTGTGTAGGGACTGGCACAATAACAGCAAGGGTGTCATTGACTTACCATATGGCTACAATTGACTTCTTATATTTTTGAAAACAGCACCGACAGCAAGATTCTCCCAAAACAAACGAAACCTTGGTGTGTATTACTGCTATGGCTACAAAGTACAACATATTATCATTGAGGTTTTCAATATCTAGAACAACATTGGTAGGTTATTGTATTTAATTGAATTGTATTGAATTGCGTTGTATTGTTTAGATTTTGACTTTTGTATATATTCAAGATTACAAAAATAATGCAAACATATTCTATACGGAATATCATGGCTCGGATAGTCATTTCGAACATGATAATACCAAACATCTTTGGTCAGATCAAGTCATGTAGTACAATGTTTGTCAGCGACTTTAGTTCATGCGTAGAATTAGTTGACATGGTGTGTGCCATTGTTATTTAGAAACTGGATCACGGTCGAGACTATTTTTTCAATGATATGTCTATATATAGAATATAATTCAAATAGTATAGATTGACTAACCTTTAAAATAAGATACTTCATATTTCTTTCCAAGCGTCCGATCCCCTACAACATACAGATATACATTATTATGCATCGTAAAACCTGTTTAGTTGTAATGTTGATTCATCTCGTTTTAAACATCAGTTATAGTTATGTTTTCGGTGCTTTATTGCAACTCCCAGCACTTACTAAATCAAGATTGGCAAAATATATGTTGCCTAACTGTGCCCCACAGCGGTAATAATACACAATAAACTTAAGCCTAATGTCATTTCTTCAAGAAGTAACACTCAAAGTTGTAATGACCTCAATATGGTAACGAAGGAGATAAGGTACGATCTTACATTTTCTAACTTATTATCACTAATAGTATTTATTATTCAGGCAATAATGTCTAAACATTTTTTTAAATTGATTAAATTGCATAACGTAGATTATCCACACAAGATCTTTGGGTAGTAAATTGTCTCTCCTCGAGTATTAAAATGATAAATTTTGTTATTTTTCTACCTAAAATGGAAATGTCCCAGAAGATCCTATTGTAGGGTTGCCAGTGCAAGATGTTCTTATCTCCACTATATATTATGGCTATGGAAATTCAACGTCAAATGAAAGGTCAGAGGTACAACCAATAATATCATTTCTATGATTACATATATTTATTTTTTAAGATCTTGATATTACACTATTTATGGTACATTTCTAAAACACAGTAAGTTTGCCCGAATCAGCTATATACATTTTACTGAATGTTTTAACAGTTCGTCCAATTCAGATTTACATAGTTGATGTTATAAATACATCTCTCTCTATCTGAACCAGAAATATTTCAAGTCTTGGAAATAAGATAACAATGTAATAACTATTGAAATAATTTCCTAATATACAATAAACTGAGAAATAAAATACAAATTCAAAGTTTCAGATTGCTGATCTTAATTGTCCTCTCGTGTTTGGCCTTGTCAAATGCACAGATAGAAAAAGCAGGTTCGTTGGCATTTCGTTTAAATAGTTTACAGGTTATCGAAACATTACCTGAAATTTTGTCAAAACCATTTTTATATATTGATCTTCTTTTGAAACGACGAATTAAAAAATAGGTACGTTAATGTAAAAAGAAGGTACAACGTTAATGTAAAATAGGTACAAGTGTCTACGTTAATGTCGCATGATCGAGGTAGTTTTGCCATTTGTCTCGATTTTCTTTTTCAAAAATATTGCTATAATATCTTAAGATTATCTTAAAAAAAACTTTGAAATCTTTTCAGAAATGGCAAGAAGTGTTGAGACATAAATATGTTGTAAATATGTTGTAAAATGTGACAATACTACCTTTCAAGTATACATCAACTTCCTTTACACGATGTGCCTGTACATTTCTGAATGCTGTTCCTGAGATTAAACATTTCGAATATTGTGTTTCAACTCGTAATATAATGATTTTTAATCTTGATTATATTGTATTTCCAGAACCATTTGGAAGTACATATATTCTTAGTGAGTTTGAAAAGGGTATGTACACTCCTCTCTACATCGGCACTCAAATCCCCTGTTAGATCATGCGAGAAATCTTTGTTTGGATCTTCATTCTGATTCTACTGCTTAGTATTTCATATCTCGAATAAAGGACTTCATCACTTCATTTAAAATCAATTATCAACCAGCAGTAGAAAATGCGATATTTGAGAGGTTAAGCTTGCAATGTTTTTCGAAACATAATCGTGAACGAAAAAATGCGTGTTTTAGAACTCATAACAAAAAAGTACGGCGTTTATGTATGTTTGTATGTGTTTGTAATTTCACGTTGGTGTCAACGGTAATCATTATACTCAAATCTGCTGAAAACTATGCTTGCAACTTTGATTTTGTTGCACAGAAGAATTGAATTGATATTTTTTGTTAAAGGTACTTACTCAGACACAACTGTTCAAGGGTCACTTATTGCTTTTCTTTCAACGTTTTTAATACTCAATATTATCAAAATTTAAACCGATTGCATATTGAAAACTAAAGTAAGTCCCGATATACAAACTGTTTATCAATTTTTTGCATAATTGAAAATCACAAAATAAATGCTCAAGATTTGTATCTACTATAGAAGTCTATATGACTTCATAGGCCTATGAAATTTCCTAAATACCAACTTTCAACTGAACATTCAATTTTACGAAACATACTGCCATGTTTGAACAAATATGAGGAAAAATGATGAATTGGGTATTTGCGCACCTCATACTGTGATCGCATTAATTAATTAAGAGAAGTTCCTTTAACATTTTTATGTCAGAATTCTACTTTAGTTTACAAATACGTTTTTTGATTTTACTGAAAATTAAAAAAGTTATTTAAGAAAGAATGACCCTTGAATAATTCTGCCGGGAAAACTATGAAAACCAGCTAAACTACCAACGGCATCTTATTTGCTGATGTATTTTCGTCCAGATATATTTCTTTGAGTATATCTTGTACATGCAGAACGTATACTATGTTGTGACACTTGGAAACACAACTAGTATATGCAGGAAATACTACGAAAAGTGCCGTTCTTATTTACACTGAAGCCGAACATTTATAATAATAAGCCAATGCGTTTCAATATATACGGCACATTCATATTTGGGTGAAAACTCTCATTCAGCGATGGATCCGTACCCCAAAGACCCCGTCCCCCGGTTGAGATGGGGGTTGAGGTTAGCCTGAAAATAAATCCTGTATACTCCACGTGGCAACTGAAGAAAAAGTGACTATCGAGCATCGACCAGCCAGTGACATAGTAATTTAAACACTGCAATGAAGCTTCTCGTTATAAACCAGATTTAATGTTACCAGTTAAACAAAATTTGATATATTTTACAGCCAGTTGTGAACGAGGTAATGGCTACACGTCCGATATTTTTAATTGTTGTGGGTTTGTGAGATGTGTCGGAAACATTGGTATACGGATGCATTGCCCCTTCAATACAGTTTGGCAGCCCCAAACGTGTAATTGTGTGCTTGCGAACCATTACGAGGTGTGCGTTATCTCCAACTGCACAAGTAGGTTATAGGACTAGTGATAGGAATTGATGGTATTTGGATACTTTTGGATATAATTGTCAAAAACGAGTATATTGAGTACAACCAGTACTATGTTGTTTCTTTTTATCTTTAGATCCTTTGCCAGACTTCGATGATAGTTGTCCCGATTTCCTTGATGAAGGTAAGTAAAATGAAGTTGCGATTGGTAACAAAATATGTGAAGACAACAGACAACATTAACTTATTATTTTAAAGCTTTTGTTTACAAAAATATAAATAAAGGGATTACAATGAAATGAAGGTGATTTAATACTTGAAGCGAATGTCCAATCAGTGAGTGTCCAATCACAGTATCCAGTCACAGGGTCCAAATAGGGGTCTCTCCATATTGCGATCACAGCTGCACTCAATATGCTTGACTGAATCATCATAAATGTATTTAAGAGTAATACACAATTTATAATTAATTAAAAAGATATGAGTATTATTGCTGAATTTTGCACTATACTTGTATAAATGCACCTCTTTTGAAGGTGCCAAAGTTCAAATTTCCCTCCAATTTCCACAATTCAGTAATCTGCGTTGCATAAATTTTTGGTCGCTCATGACACCCCTAGTGCCAATTTTAACCTCTAACTCCACAAGATAACGGGTTTTCAATCAGATGGTGTCATATTTTTAGGAAATGATTTATCTTTAAAATGATATATAGCATGGTTAAACGTTATATCATATGATATTCATCCTTAGACTTGGGTATTGTTTTTTGGCCCAACCTGTATGTGCAGAGTAAAACAAGAAGGACGGGTGGTAGCACTTTAAATACTAAAATTAAAAATATCATTGCTAATCGTTCCATTTGTTTTATATACAGACAGCACATTTTCATACGCCCGCGGAGCAAGTGAAATTGATACAATTGCGTCATAATTAATCCGTTTGAAGCGCGAGCATAAAAAAACAGATTTACTTGTACCGCGCGCGAGCAAATTGGTAATAGGATTATGGTCACCCTCGTGTATTCAAAAACAGGCTTATATACTCGCGGGCAAAGGTCAAATGATTCAGGTTGGTCGCTATCGTGATACAGCAACTTTTAGAAAGCTTTTCATCTTCAAGCTCTTTGTCTTCCTCATTCTCTTCCTCTTCAAGTTCCATATTTACCTGAACCGCCTGCGAGATCCATATTTTTCAGCAATTATAAAATGACCCGGAAGTACACAACAGAGGTACACCCGCGGGCAAGTTCATGGAGGGGGGGGGGGGTTATACTCGTATGTCTTTAAGATGGAACAAATTCAAAAGAACTCGACGTGTATTTGAAAAACACTCAACTCAGTACCCCAGTGAGAAACTGGATATTATATCTCTGGAGAATGAAGAATGGTTAAATTTGGAGTTATAAGAATAAATTCAAGTAGCATGTCTTATCATGTCTTATATATACACCCGCGGTCCCAATACGGCAACCCAAGGCGATATGTGCTGGGCATCAATGACCACCAAAATCAGAGTTGAAATGACGCGATTCTGGTTCCGACTTAAGAATCTGCGAGACACCAGAGTGACGAAGAAAATACATCAATGGGCGCTTCACGAACGAGGTTCATGGGAAACTAAGATCCAAGACAGGGCCGTCAGATGGGGGGGGGTGCGATGGGTGCGACCGCACCCCCCTTTGTCACCCCACAAAAAAAATTTGAAAAAAATGTTTTTTTTTGAAAAATATTTTTTTTGTAATTTTTTTTTCATTGACTCATACACTTTGAAAGTACCCAGAAAGCACCAAATAGCATCTTAAAATTGAAAATTTTTCTAGGGGTATTGGCCACCCCTCACACCCCCCACAAAACAATGGAAAGTTCTTTTATTTTAGTGTTTTGTCTCAGACACTTTTAAAGTGCCCAGACATCATCAAATAGCTCCTTGATATAGTTAGTGTTTCTGGGGGACTTGCTCCCCCTCTTGCATCTTGCCCTTGACCCCCCCCCCAAAAAAAAAATTGTGATTTTCTCAAATTCTTTAATTGACTCATACACTTTGAAAGTGCCCAGAAAGCACCAAAAAGTGTCGTAAAATTGTAAAATTTTCTAGGGGGAGTGGGCCACCCCTCACACCCCAAACAAAACAATGGAAAGTTCTAAATTTATTTTAGTGTTTTGTCTCAGACACTTTTAAATTGCCCAGACATCATCAAATAGCTCGATCCTTGATAAAGTTAATGATTCTGGAAGACTAACACTTACTCGTCCTCTGGCATCCCCACTCCACCTCCCCCTCTGGCAGCCCCCCCCCCCCCTTAACACCCCAAAAAGTGCCCAGAAAGCACCAAATAGCATCTTAAAATTGTAAAATTTTCTTGGGAAATAGGCACTTTTAGGCACAAACACTTTTAAAGTGCCCAAACTTCATCGATTAGCACCTTGATATTGTAAATTTTGATATGGGGGACAAACACTTGCTCCCCCTCTGGCACCCCAGCCCCTCCTCCCCCTCTGGCACCCCTCCCCCCTTTGACACCCCCAAAATTTGAAAAAAATTGTGATTGTTTTTCAATGTTTTATTGACTAATACACTTTAAAAGTGCCCAGAAGCACCAAATACCATCTTTAAATTGTAAAATTTTCTAGGAGAGTTAGCCACCCCTCACATCCCCCACAAAACAAAAGAAAATATTCTGAATTTCATGTATTGTCTCAGACATTTTTTAAGTGCCCAGACATCATCAAATAGCACCTTGATATGGTCAATGTTTCTGGGGGACAACCCCTTGCGCCCCTACTGGCACCCCACCCCACTTCACCCTCTCATCCTCTTTGACACCCCTAAAAGAATTTGAAAAAAAATTCACATTTTTCTTATTGACTCATATCGCACAGGCGTACCAGATGGTTGCAAATTCGCTCCAAATACAACCAAATTTCAAAATTTTCCTGGGGGGAAAACCCCCAGACCCCCTAGGCCCTGAATGCTCAGTTTTTTATTCACTCAACTCTTATTCCCGTGGTGGTGGCGTACTACTTAGAAACTTACACATTGAAAGTGCCCAGAAAGCACCAAATAGCATCTCAAAACTGTAAAATTTTCTAGGGGGAGTGGACCACTCCTCATACCCCCCACAAAACAATTGGAACGTTTGGAAGTTGCATTTGTTAATTCCAAACCAATATAGGGAGTAACTGACCCCCCCCCCCCCCTCTGTCTTACGCGATTTGATTACGCGGCAAAAAAATGACAATTTTATATTCTCTTTAGTAAGCTAAAAACCGCACCCCCCTTGGAGAAAAGTGTCTTACGGGCCTGCAAGACATGTTAAAAGACTGCAACTCCGATGATTTAATTACAGCCGGACCAGTGCGTGGGGTCAAACGTAAACTCGAGCTTGTCAAACAACGGCTTGTGGAAATCGACAATGATCTCTGGTTCAAGGAACTCTGGAACGATCGGCGCAACCCAGTGAATGGCAACAAATTGCGGACTTACAGGATCCATAAGCGCCATGCTTTAGAGCCAGAGAGTTATGTTACTTTGACACTAAGCAAACAACAAAGAAGTAACATAGCCCGGATACGATCAGGGACACTTCCATTAAAAATAGAAACAGGGAGATACAGTGCCACTCCCCTTGCGGACAGGACTTGTTCATGTTCAAATGAGTCTATTGAAGACGAGCAACACTTTCTAATTGACTGTCCCTTACATGAAACATTACGTTTTAACCTTTTTCAAAGAGCCAGAGATATAATTCCTGACTTTGATAACCTTCCATCATTAGGGAAATACTGTAATATAATGTGCACCCCTTCATTGCAACGCATACTAGCAAAGACAATTGGTATTATGATGTCTAATAGACTTTTAATTTAAAACTATTCAGTGTTGTTATAAAATGTAAAAAGTCTCTCATAAGCCGGTGCCGGCTGGGCTGTGTTTTTATTCAATTTTAGTGCAAACATGTAATATTTTTATGTATTTTTATGTATTTATTGTATTTGATATATTTACAGCGTGAGACTCTAATAAATATTTAACTAAACTAAAGTATATACGTTACCCCCCTCCATCCACTCCCCCATCCATCCAATATTAATTTATTTCAATTATTTTTTGTATAACGCATGAAAACCAGCTTTAAAAAGTGAGCAATGTTATTAGTGTTGTGATAATAACGTCCCTTATACCTATTTATTACAGGTCGTGTAGACCATTGTTACCTGATTTATAGCAAAAACATTGACTTTTGCGCGTTAGTGATGATGCGGCTTTTTTAATTGATCTCATATCTTAGAAGCGTATCAGTTCAAAAAAAGACCTAACATATTTTGCCATGCACTGCGCCTATTTATTTGGCAATTCAGTTGTGAATTTTCTCTACCTTTGTTGAGTTTTCTTGCAGAAATCGCCTACTCCCCCCTCCATCCATTTTGTGCGATCACCGGGCGTGACTATGAAGTGTATTAATTGCGGTTCATTATGTACGTCTGGTGTCTAATTAAACCTAGCGTTGGGATATTTGAGGATGTTATATCACGAAAGCTAAGACTACCATGATTTTATTTCAGATGAATGTTGTCTTCGAACTGACGGTTTTGAATCTCAGATCTTCAAAGGTGTTAACGAGACGCATTTTATGTTTAAAAATGATATCCAGTCGTGTCCATTTGGCCAGATCTTCTATACTGATACCTGTTGCTGCGAAGGACCACTAGAAGGTACAGCATGGACACAATACCACTTTTATTCATTTAATTGTATATGTACGTTTACATTCATAATGTAAACGTAGATTTCATTTCCAATGCCCAATTATATGTGAACAACTTTACAAAACTTTACAACACCCAAAGGTTTGGATTCGGGTTACCCGCGGCCGATGGCGGAAAACGTGTCCTTCTCGGAACAATGCTTCTTAATAAAAATTCTGTCAAAATAGATGCTAAATGCTATTTTAAACTGAAATAGTCTCCAGTTTTTAATGCAGCGCTGGTTCATTGTGGAATAATACAGAGCCTCATAATATCCAATAGAAAGTCTAACGGTCTCCCAAGCTTCAAAAATCGACAAAAGACACTAATTCGGAGATCAAAACCTAATTTTGACCCTACTACTAAGCTAAAACTAAAGCTAAAACCAGGAATTCTGAAATTTTACTAAACATGTTCAGAGTAGATCTAATTATAACTATTATACTTATTGACATTGTACCTCTATCCCAGAATATGCCTCATAATATCAGAGCATGTTTCAGGTTAAACAGAAAGATGCCATGACTATCAGAATGGTATCCTATGTAATCTTTAAGTTTGTCCTATGATGCCACTGGCAAGCCATTCTATGTAATACATTTCATGAAATTAATAGTTTAGCATACATGTACAAAACATGACATAATTGATCTATGGAATATCGTTTGATTTTTGAAAATATTTCCAGCTCAAGGTGCACCCTGTACTCATTTTACATTCGATAGAGGTTTCAATGACATATCTGACGTCAACGGTGTTCCGACTAACATTAGAAAGACACAGAGGGTTTCTGGTCTCCCTGGGGACATGGCGGCAGTATTTGACCAAACATCAAAGTTCATAATACCTCGGTTTGCCAATGTGGAGTTCAATTTTGCCTTGTATATATGCGTTTGGGTTGCATTTGATAATGTCCAGATCTCACAACACATTTTACACAACGGAGATGAAGGCGGACTTAAAGCAACGATATCAATAGAGCTTGTTATAACGCCAGATAATGAAAAATTGATTGTTGCCGGTGTTAAAGCATGTGACAGAGTACAGGATGTGGTTGTACTTTTACAGGTGGGTTTAGATATTTGATCAAATGGGTCGAATGATAACCCAACAAAACATATAATAGAGGTTTCAGATAATTACCTCTCCGGGCGAAGTTCGAGTAAGAATGGAGACAAAAAGGAAATGTAAACTATTCTTATATAAATGTAACTATTACCTTTTTAATTCAATAACATGACTAATGAACTTTCCCATCGGAAATAAAGCTAAATAACAATATGAGAATACACTTTGATAACGAAGAAGGAATGCTATGAAATTATAAATTGCAAGTTTTGTTAAAGGAATTGTTGGAGGGACAGTGGTATCATATTTGCATTGCCTATGACGATGCAGGAGAAGTAACACTTGTAATAGATGGCATTAGAACCACTGTTGTAGAGAGAGGTACTGTAGTATGTCCTCATTTCACTTGGGGCCTCTTAACTTATCTCAATTTTAAATACTATATATTTGTTTCACACTCTAGGGTTCATGATAAATCATCATGATATTGATTCCAAATATTAACTAATATGGTAATCAGAAATCTAAAAGTCTTGCCTAGAGCATGCACATGAAATTAAACATGCATTGTAGGGTCTTCTTGTGTGATTCCACCCATATAGCTCAGTGGTACCGCGTGTAACTCTTACGCAAAAGGTCAAGAAACAGATCCCCGGTTCAGACATGACTGATTTGATTGTTTGCATAAAGAACTTTAGGGTGCTTGACTAAATGGTCCACAACTCGAAAAAGACCGTGGTGTGTACAGGGTGTCCCGAAAGTATGCCCCCCTAGGTAGACATATTCCAGTGTCCCCATAGTATGTGTCATACAGGGTGTCCCAGAACTCATGAGAATTTTTTGAGGGAGATATAAGGCATGGGTGATTTTTCTTCAAATTTGGTACACTTATTAAACACACATTGAGGAATAACTGACATGAATTTCAGGCACATGTCCTTTATATCTCCGAATTTATTGACATTTGAATTCTACATCGCCACAAACCCTGGAGTAGTCAGAGAAATATAACAATTTAGGTCACATTTTGATAATATTTACATAACTTCTCTACTCTAATAGCATTGTTTTCATTGAATTATTTCAGCGTTTCAGTACATTAGTTAATAGGATCATACACATTCAGCTAACGTATCTCTACAGAGTTATTATAGCATATTATCTGCAGTTGATGTCGTCTTTTCAGTACTTATACACATTCCCAAATCGTCCAATAGCCATTTCTGTAGGGTCCTCTGAAACAACATGACTCAATTCATCCTCCGTTTCAGTGACATGGCTTACTAATCTTTGTTTAAGGACCCAAAAGAAATCAAAAGTCTAGAAGAGCAAAATCTGGCAAGTATATGGAGCTACTATATACTGTGAAGTCTCAATGCAATAGAAAGTAAATTGGATGCACTACTGACATGCATGTATTGACTTATTCATTGGTGCATTGTCAATATGCAAGATCATATTGGCTAGCAAATGGGGACATTTCTTTCAGTCCCTCAGGAACATGTCATTATGATCTTTTAGCAAACCAAATGTACAATATGTTGATGTATTGGGTCTCTAGACTACTCTATCAAAGTTTATATATCGTTTTATCAAAGTGCATCATCAATATAATCAATATGAGAAAAATGCTGAACTAAACTCATACAAAAAACGTTGGTTTTATAGTTGAGAATTTGTATAAAATTGACAAAATGTGACATAAACTGTTGTATTTTCCCAATAACTCCGGGGTTTGTGGTGATGTAGAATTCAAATGTCAATAAATTCGGAAATATAAAAGATATGTGCCTGAAATTCACGTCAGTTATTTCCCAAAGTGTGTTTAATAAGTGTACCTTTGAAGAAAAATCACTTATGCATTATATCTCCATATCAATGGAGGGGAAATAAATCTAATAATAATAATAATCTCCCTCAAAAAATTATCACGAGTTCTGGGACACCCTGTATATCATTTTAAAGCTTACCCAAAGTTACATCGATTTGCCAAGTATCATGGTTTAACTTCCGAATGGGAAAAAGTTACATTCATTTAAAAGTTAGTGTTTTGTCAAAATAAAGTTCAATTTTACACCACATTATTAGTTAATAAGTCCCCCCTTGGCCATGTTAACAGCAGCAATTATTTTCAGATATGACCTTAAAATCCCTTCAAATAGGGGTGTGGGATTTTATAACCCTCTTAAAATCTGTCAAGGCCTCATCGTTCTCTTTTTCCAGCTCAATATCCATCCGACCCGAAAAGAATTGCTGCTGTTGAGATGGCCCGGGAGTACACATTGACTAGTGATTTGGTGTAAAATTGAACTTATAATTTTGACCAAGCACTGAAATGCCTGTAATTTTTTCACATTTGAGAGTTGAACCATGATACTTTGATACTTGGCGAATCAATGTAACTTTGCATAAGCTTTAAAATGATATATGACAGACACTATGACGACACTGGTATATGTCTGCCTAGGGAGGGGGCATACTTTCGGGACACCCTGTACTTGTATGACTAAGTATGAGTGCAAAGAACACAGGGTTTCTCAAAGGAGGGGTTCCTGGGTCTACCTTCCACGAGTATGCGTAAATTACGACTGTTTTAGGTACTCTTCTGGGTATTTTTTTTAAATTTAGATATATATATATTCCTACAATAAACAGTGAAAACAAATAAGTGTTAAACATTGGCATTTTTTCATGTAGTTGAACGTAGCTGGAACTAAACGCATTTTTTGCTCATCATTTTATGTATTCTAAAAGATAATGCTTTTATCTGAACTACGTTAGCATACTTTTTGATCGTTCCGATTGTATGTAGCTTTGATATCTCCAAAATTGTGAATTCCGTGAAATTGTAAATGTAACAGGAAAACACGCTTCTAAAAACATGTCACATCTCAATAATAAATAGTCGCATCTTTTAATTTTGGTTATGATGGAATAGAAAACATTCATTGATCGAGTGTGATGAGAGCACTATATTTGGTCTCCACCTATTACCGATTATATAGACCCAAAAAAAGTAAATCTAAAATTTATTCTGTGAAAATCGACATGGTCGTTAAAACACACCCACACGGCATTAGGGGAATCCGAGAAAAGTAAGTTTTATGTGGTTAGCAAATCCTTGATTCAGTTTATCAGACCATTATGTTCCAAATTGTGATAATAATTGTGATTTATTTATAATATGCATGACCTTGAAATTTCTGAAAATTCACCATTTTTTGTGAAAAACGACCAAGGTGTAATTCAAACATGGGCGGCATTCTTGTGTAAAGATGGACACTATTCAAGGAAACTATATATCCACTCTGTTTTAACGAAAACATTTTACGAAATAAGCAGCCCGACCCCATCTATGAGCGAATATGGTGTGAAACTGACAATCGACATGCGTGAAAATCGACATGGTTATACCATTGAACTCAAAGTTAACAAAATCAGTTATATAAAATATATATAAGTTGTTTTCGCATTAAAATGTTAATCAGTCAACATTACATAAAGGACCGTGTTTTTTACAGAATGTTTTCATTTCATGTCAACATTGTTGAATTCAGTTCTTCATATCGATACCAATCCTACCAACATATTTTGTTGTTTAATGAAGTAGCTATCTTGGACGATTTATTTAGAACGATTACCGGAAATCGATCTTCGACTGGTTGTCGGCTCGCCTTTCTGGGACAGCTTGCCGGCTTTGCGATTGTTGGATGATTTCGAGTATGGGCATATCCAAGCAAGAGATGAAATTAATTTCATAGTTGGCGCAGCCATTGCCTTCTCTGATCCTGTCGAAGGTACGCATGCAGAGACTGCTAAAACAAACAAGATTGTTTTGTTTGTTTATTTAACGTTTCTTTCTCTTTATGGCAAGGGTTTGGAATACGAAATTACATAATGCTCCCTCCATATTTGTCCTTCTGGACTTCTGGAAAAATTATACAATACAATGCAAATTATACCATGCAACATAGATGCTATGTACGAGGGTTGATCATAAAGTTCTCATAATATATCTCTAATTTCTTTATTTTTCAATATATTCTAATGGAACTTTCACAGAATGTGCAGCATAGAATGTCTTATTAATTCAGCTAAAAATATTTAGTTTAACAGAAATGGTAAATAAGAAATGGTTGCCATAGTAACGGAAAATCAAGGCACCCGGGGCAAATAAAAGTAATTGAGAGAATGGCTCTAATTAACCATTTTAACACACATAATAAACTCTCATAAATTACCAAACACGTTAAAATGTTAACTTGAATATGTTGTTAAGTGCTTTTACTATTAAAAAAATGTGGATTGTGTGATGTCGTAGGGGATGCTTTCATGCTACATTAGATGTGATATCAGAGCCTGAGACTCAAAGCTAATGATTAAAAATGACTGAGTACGAGAATGCAATAGATGCAGAGATCTTCAGAAAAATGAAATTAATATTGATAAAATGTTATGTTAAGTTTGTAAGATCCTTTGGTCAGACTAAATATGATCTAAAACAAATATATTGCTAAGGTATCAACAAAATTACACCCTGTGTGTGGTTTGTACATGTCAAAAATGAACTAAAGGGGCAAAATCAATTTTCCTCGGGATATTTGACAAAACAGTCATGGGGTCTAACAGTCACTTCTAATGAAGCGTAACAATCATGCATTGTGAGATCACACAATTGACATGACCATTATAATACACGGTGACCAAGAGTTAACAGTGCAAATCGGCCCGGTCGTGTTTTTTTTAACTCTTTAGTCGTGTTTTGTTGAAAATTTGAGAGGTAGGTTGATAAATTTGGTCATGAAATTGCTGTCACTTGACTTTATGTAAAAGTAAGTAATTTATATTGCTTTCCATACTATATATCTTAACTTCAGGTATTCGTAAACGTGTTATTTGCACGAATCGTATGCTATAGTCTTGTTATATCGGGAAAAGAGCAATTCTGTCAGTGTTATACATATTTTTGCCTGAAAATCACTTGCCTGACTAGTATTCAATGAATACATCGATTCATAAGGAAAGCATTCACAATATGTGCGAAAATCAAAAGTTAGAAGAGCTTAAATAAGTAGCAATTGACCGAATGATATTTTTTAGATTAAACTCTTTAGACGTGTTGAAAAGATTGCGGTTAATGACGTTGACCTGTTAGTGAAACGTTCTAGACGTGTAGAGACATTGAGGTTTAACGATTTGGAAGTGGGAAACAGCACAATTAACATTATGTATTTCCCAAAAAATGATCACAGTGTTGAAGAAGTTGTTGTCTGAGTGACACTATCTTAATTATAAATGATTAACAATAATCAAATGTACGACATAATATGTCTAGATTGATCTATGGGATCACTACCGAATTTGATACTTAAATCAAAATGGTTAGAATCAGACACGCATGGTTAATGCAAGCGAGCTTTGCCTCGTCGCTCGTCATTTTGAAAATTTGACCAGTCATATTATTTTTTAATTGCCCTGTCGCTCATTAAATGGCTCGTTGCTATTTTTGAATTTGCCTCAAATACGTTTTAAAACGTCCCTATTGGCCTTAAACTCACTTTTCCCTGTCATGAACGTACATATATTTATTTAAAATGAGAGGAAATGTTTAGTTTGTGATGCACTACATGTAAATGCATATATATGATCACCTAATGTAAGGAATAACTCCACCGTTATTAAAATCGTATGCTCAATATCTATTAGGTTTGCCTCAGGATTTTTAACAATTTGATTCGATGTTATTCCCTAATTCGCCTCACACAATGCAATACAATTTCAATTTTAATTTTCAAATCGCAATAGGTAAAAAACGCTACATATGCTACTATCGTTCTATGAGTGATCTATGAACTGTACTGTAACATAGTTTTCTAGCGAATTAAATTACAACATCTGTTGATCTTGTTAAATCATATATCTGTCTTTTTTATCTATTCTTATTTATTCATATCTTGACTACAAATTACAATAAACGGGTGACACATAATGTATATTCCCGTGTTTAGTACTAATACGATTATTTTCAGAAGCACAGGCAAATTATTAAGCAACAAAACATGGTCAATGTGAACAATATTACAAGACAATTCAAACGTTAATTTTATCACGTCTAAAACGTTATCTTTACAATTCCAAAACGTTAACATGCTTATAATAAGACACGTCCATGACGTTATATTGTCCCTTCTCCATAGTTAACTCCACTTTCTATATTTACGGTCATTTATGGCAATTTTAAGATAAATACAGTTAAAATATTTACACGATCTTTAGAGTAGTGAATATTATTCCACGTTGTTGAATGGATTGTCTGTTTAAACTTGATTAAATAACACTAAATGCAAATTAAGTACATATTTCTGGCACTTTTGGTATATAATTGCGATTGATATGAAGTATGATGGATTTATCCCCAAAATAGATTCGTGGGTATGAAGAAGAACATCTTAGGTAGAAGTCAAGATATGTAAGTTTGTAAAATATAGAATATTCTTACCATTTTGCTCCATTCTATCGAATGTCGCATCCCATGTTCTTACAAAACACGACTAAAAAGTTAAAAAACACACGACCGGGCCGATTTGCACTGTTAACTCTTGGTCACCGTGTAATAGTTCACAACAGTTAGGAGCACATATTATTTGACAGTTTAATATGTTTGATAGCTTATTTGACAACTTACCATGTATTTAAACATGGTTAATGGGGGCTATTCTAGCTAGTTTCTTTATTTGCCCCGGGTGCCTTGACTTCAAGTTACTATGGCAACCATTTCTTACTTAATGTTTCTGTTATTCTAAATATTTTTTGCTGGATCAATAAAACATTCCATGCTGCACATTCTGTGAAAATTTCATAGGGAAATATTGAAAAATAAAGAAATAAGAGAGATATTATGAGAACTTTATGATCAACCCTCGTATGTATTAAAGAATTAACAGCATTATCTTTTACCAAGCATGTTAATGTTATTCTATGTTTTGCATTGGAATGTCCATGTGCAGTATGGCAAGTGATATTAGATAGTCATAACGTCCACGATGAGTGCATTCTGGACATAAAATACAGAGTTTTTTATTAAAACATTTTTTTATCTACAGAGGAAAGGCCGTTGTCAATGCTTGCGTGGCTTGAATTACAAGATAACCTTGCAAATGCTGTCATCGAGTACTTCCAGAGACCATACAGGCATTCCTCAAACTTAGATGATCTTAACATTGCATACGACCAATTAGGTGAGATTCTTCGACTACCACGTTTATTTGAAATGAGGATTAGCATGGCAAAAGATCTGGTAAGCATATTTTTTCTATGTTTTTGGATTGGGCTATTAAACTTCTCTTGGGCAAACAGAAATCCACTTTTATCTTTTACAAACGTCTTTGTATGGCAATTTGAAAAATCATCAAATAAGGTTCATTGATTAAATCACGTATTAAAAAGTGATATAAAACCATTATTCTCTGAATTGGAATTTGGTATGAATTTTTATTCCACTCAATATATGATATTTGCCTAGGTCCCTTAATATTTTTAGTAGTTAGAGACATTCTTGATATGTCATATTTAGTTGCATCCACTGCATCAAATGTGGAATTTCTAGTAATTTCTAGACGTGCTTAGTCGGTCTAGGAACTCCGTGTATCTAGAGATTTCTAGGCGTGCTTAGACGTGCTTAGAGCTGGCGTGGACAGAGCGTGACTAGAGTCTAGAAATCTCTAAGCACGCCGTGGTTAGACACAAGATAAAATTAGTCGTTATTAAATTGCCATGTGAGATTTTGCGCTATATATGGAAACATTTAAATTATAATTTACCGCACGTGTTAATATTTCATGTTTTGCTTTAGCTAAATACGGGATATCAAATCAAAAAGAGTATGTTTTCACTTTATATCCGACTTGAGTCACGAAAAATACATCGCAACATGGCTTCTTAATTGTTAACTTGTTATAAATTAAGAAGGTCTGTTTAAATGGGTATTTCCACTAATCAACGCCCATTATTTCGCATTGACAAGTACCAGGGCCGAATCCAGCATTTGCTAAGGGGATGACTTTTGAATTATTCCAGGGGTGAGGTCACATTTGATATTTGCTAAAAAATTGCACGAAAACTGCTCAAAATGGTGAAAGAATTATTGGCCAGGGGATACAGTATTATTTTAAACTAGACATCTCTGTCGGCGAGGGGGGGGGCTAACTTATTCCAGGGGTGGGGTCACATTTGATATTTGTTAAAAAATCACACGAAAACTGCTCAAAATGGTGAAAGAATAATTGGCCGGTGGATGCAGTATTATTTTAAACAATACATTACTGTCGGCGAAGGGGAGGGGGGGGGGCTAACATATAGTTGAAACTACAGAATACGCTTCCTTGATTTTTGATAATCTATAAACATAATCTTGTCATAAACAACTACTGATTTATATATATGAACGGATATTTGTAAATTTGGTTTAAAAAGAAACTGAATATAGGGTAAAAATGAGGGAGGACAGAATGAGAATCATATGTCTGGACTCGCAAGATTTTCATAAACATATTTGTTGATTGCTCGCGAAAACAAAAACAAATTTCAGGGTTCATTGGCATCACACAATATTTGCAAAATGGGGGAGAGCATTTTCCCAGCTTTAACTATCAGATTCAGTAGCACCCTGCCCTTGATATATTAATACATAGTTTTCTTGTACCCCTTTTCAAAAATACAACGAACTAAATACATACTAATAATGATCTTGAAATTGATTTCTTTGATCTGTAATCTAGATCACACAATAGCTAATTAACTGTTTGATTGCGTTTTTGCTTCTTCAAAGACGGGATATCCCAAAATTACCTTGATTATAGCATGGGCTTTCAAGAGAGTCCACGATTGCAGTCTACATGGTCTATAGGCTATTTTAAATTCCTCGTTATTTTAGTTGTGTATCTCTGAATCCCGGCTCTGATTATCATATACAATTTACTTTAACCAATTTTACCCGTTTTTTGAACTTCAAAACTGTCAGATACATATTGGTGGTCCCTAATCATATTAGGCCCAATAACAAATAACATAATTCAACTGGAAAACATACAATACATATTCATCATCTCATCTATTTCTCCGATTTGTATCTCTCGGTAATCTTTATGCCTTGAGCCACACCCCCCCCCCTTACATATACTTTAGATACACTTATTTTGACGCTACTTAATTTGACGAATTTGCTTAATTTCAAATATTGGCGGCTATTTAATTTGGCGGAATCAGGACTGAAGTTTAATTTTTGTGTATGTTTATGCATGGGCTATCAAAAGATTCTCTTGAAAGCCCATGGTTTATGTCATTAGGACGGGTATTTACTAAGATATTTTCTGTATTTCTTTTGGGATAATGTATGACATGTTGATGACATGCTCAGTTGACAGGAAAGGGGCTTCTAAAGTGCATTTGACAAAAATTCCAAACTGAAAGACGGATTTTAATTTGGCGGATTTTCTGACTCCGTCAATCCGTCTAATTAAAACGGGACCCAAATTAAGTGTAATCAGTTATATCAATATTATTTTGTATCTATCTGACATTATAATTTCGAAAAGAGATTTTCCCGGGGACATTCGGGATTTCGAACATAATAAACTTAATTTGAAATTGAATCTGAAATTCTGTCAGAATGGAATACATGGACCTGGTTACATGGTTTATCTTATTCTAAATGGACAAATAAGATCGCAGGGGCAGGAAACTCCCCCGTACATGTAGTTGACATTTTGTTCATATAAAAGGCATTTGCATTAATCCGTTTGATAACTTTCTTTCGTAGTTGGTCTCTTGACCCGAAACATTCTGGCTACAACAATACAATTGGGTTTTAGAGAAAAAATTGTGACTAACCACCCTAAGAGGAACGTTGGAGCTTTTTAAGACCACATTAAGCCCCTACTTTAACTAACATCCTAACCCATGTTAAAGCCAAGCTTTTCCAGGATATCTTCAATCAATCCTCAACCCCTGTTAAATACCCATTTTACAGGGTGTCTACACCAGGGCCTACCCCCTAAGGCCTTGACCCTCGTTAAAATCCTACTTTTGAAGGTAACATACCCCTTCAACCTCCCTTCAAAACCCTACTTGTACAGGGTACCCCTAAATCCCACGTTAAAGCCCTTATATTTGCCGGGTACATACATACCCCCTCCCTCTCAAGCCGTACTTTTGCTATTCCCCACAGCTGAATTCATTTGTGAACTATTATTTTGAATGAATTAAAATGACGTAAGCGAAGTGTAAATTTTTTGAAAAAAGCCTATCAAAAGACGAATTTGAATAATTTGCGGGGAAATCAATATTGATGTACGGTATTGAAGTCATAAACAACAGCTTCGAGATGTCAGCCCGAAGACTATCTCCCGGTTGTCATGTTTATCTAGGAAACTGCTGATTGTAATCATAATAGGACACACGGCAAAAAATGTGTATCAAAATCCGTTGAAACCTGCTTAAAGGTAATACATTTGTATTATCAAAAATACAATCTCGTTCTGACCATCGTGAATCCTGAACATTCCAAAAAGGGCATATTTTGTATTCACCTTGACATAATGTACATGTAACTGTGTCTGTGTCTGTGATCTTCAGTCAGTGACAGTTGTAGAGACTAGTTGCAACTTTAAAAAGAAAAAAAATTAAAAAGAAAAAAGAGGCTAGTTGCAACTGGTGATGTTTTCCATGGAAAGCCGTGAGCACGCTTTGCAAACTATCTCTGGACTCTCTCTCTCTCTGGACGGCAGAGGGGGGGGGGGAGTTGCGATGAGTGCGAAGGCACCCCCCCCCAAAAAAAAGCTTATAAAACATAACCATTGGATAGAAGAAAAGAGCTTTCAATTTTTTTATTTGAAGTTTCAATCTCATTTTTGAAGAATTTTGAAAGATGCATCAATTTTTGTAAAATTCAAGTATCAGAATGGGATCGCACCACATGGGGAGTAGTTTCCAGAAAGATTAGAATAGGGTGGATGGGGTAGCCTTGCCCAAGTCGGTATCTTTTAATCCTATCTTGATTTCTATTATTCAAGATCAGATAAGCGGGCAGATAAGTAAAAAATACCGACTTTGAAAAGGCAAGAAGGTATCCCGGCATAAATAATGTCAGATCAACATCCTAGATATAGTGATATCTGAACACCCCTTCCCCATCTAACGGCCCTGAGATTCAAAGAGCTCTTTGAAAGTGTCCAAAAAATGATGAAAACTGCATGTGATTGAAATTTTGGCCAGTCATATGTAAGATTTCCAGCCCCCCCCCCCCATCTACCCTTGGCTCTTACCATGGACATGGATGAAATTTAGGGGTCATTTTCAAATGCCTGATTACAAGATTACAGTGATTTATTTCCGCCCTTACATAACAGTGTTGTTGGTGGGCAGAGGAAATCGAGTATGTATTGATCTAGTTAATTAGTGATTACAGATAGATTAAAGGAAAAGTGACTTGAAAGTGAATTCTCAAAATTGAGAATTCTGATTGTAATCAAAACTATATGAATTGACACTAATCGCACGGACATGGACTAGTATTTTGAATCATTTCATATCCTATCCAACAGCAAGTGAAATCAAATGATCAAGCTACATTATCTATTGAAACTTAAATAAAGGACACAATATTTTTTACCTTTTATGTTATTCTCAGATGTTGCTTGCAATTTTTTTGAGTTTTTGAGGCGTACTTATGGCCACTTTGTGTAATCATTAGAGTTTTTAATGGTCATTTTGACTAGATATAATTGTTAAGTTTTAAGCGCAGTTTTGGTCTATATGCTTATAATAGAAAACTTTAAGGAGATGATTTGGTCTACGCTACCCTTTGCATTCGTTTGACTTCACTTCTTAAAAGAGAGCTTCGTCTTCGTAGTTTAACTAGACTCTGCACGCAGGGTAGGTCTACGCCATAACAAAACCTTTAAAAAGAGGCATACTATTGGTCTAGACCAGAAAGTAAGGCGTATTAGAGGTCTACTTTTAGAGTCCAATCTAGAAAATAAAGATGGAATCATTACCCCCCCCCCCAATACATTCACTATAATTAAGTCGTTGGTGATGTTTTTCAAGTTTAAGTTTATGCTCAATCCAGATAACATCTTCTTTATAATAAAAATAAAAAGTACTATATATATCTCCGATATCTATACATTTCCTGTAAGAATGTGGCAACGAAAATGGTGCAACAAGACCTGGGCCTAAGACATGTTTGAAATGGGTAAACATCGCAATCGGTATGTTTCAAGGAGGCCTCTGGGGGAATGACGACCCATGAAACCTAGAACCTAGAAAATCATGTTTATAAATTATAGATCAATATATAATATTTTCAGGCCCGTAGCCAGGATTTACCGGGGGAGCGGTTTTATCATGGGGGGGGGGGGTGCCAAGGGAGTGGGGGGGGGCTTTTTTGACTGTTTTGGCAAAACATCATTTGGCCAGAAGGGGGAGCGGCCGCTCCCTCCGCTCCACTTGGCTACGGGCCTGAATTTGGAAAGCAGTTAAAATGTCGTCGTTTTGTGAAGAGGGGATGGGTGATTAGCAGCATTAGAAGTCGAACGAATGCAAAGGGTAGCCATAGACTATTAAGACCCTGTAATTATGATAAATCATGTCATCTTATACATTGGTACACTTACAAAATAAGGAAATAAATTGTTCAATCAATCAATTACTTTTTGCTATCATCTAATGACGCTAGAAAACAAAATAATACATTGGTCTCCGGAATTACTGGAAGTTTTAATAACATGTACAATTTCCTGGGAACGATAGTTGTATGTGCAATGTCCGAATAAATGATTGTGGCAAAGATTGCGATTTACTAGATTCTGATTTTGGAATTTCTTTGATCAAATTGTACCTCACACGCAATGTCAGAAGTGAGATTGAATGTCCAAATAGCATAGTAAGAGCCCGACTAAGAGATGCCATTCCATTTTCTTGACTGGAGATTTATCGCTCAATCCCACACTAGACATTTAATGTTAAATAACAGTGAGATCTAAAATTCATATCTTAAAATCTAAAATCGAGTTTAGTCAGAGATTATAATTTCATTGGTAAAATGCAATCAGAAAGAACCTTTAGTAATAGTTGTTTATTTTAATGAGAGATTCATAAATTGGAACTTAAGTTGTAGCCACCATTTGTGAAGATTGCTGGGTCTAACACCTTAGTAGAGTATCAGTATACCCCCTCCCAAATCACAACCACAGTCCGCATTTCGAATGAAGTTATCATATTTTTAGTATTTTATTAGTTCAAACAGGTTTACATAAGATGCATAAAAGTGACAAAGGGAAACATTTCAATTTCTAACTCTACAATTGTAATCATACATGTACATATCAGACACATGTATACATGTGCATCAATTCATGATCTTCACTGGACATTATAAACATGAGCGAATAGGGGGAGGGGGGAACTTGGATTACGTCCTTTAGAATGTAGGTTTAGAAAACTGCAATAGATGCCATTTTTCATGATAGGGGGGTTATGAAGGAGCTTGTTCGTGAACGTGCAGAATTTTGGTCCTCTTGGAATAAGTTCTGCCTTTCGTAGTATTATTTGTCCGATTACTAGTAAGTATAAACACGAGGTACCAACTCCGACCGTTAATTTGAATTTTATACCTACACCTGTTTGGAAATCAAGGATTGTGAATCAATATACTGCACCGTTTTTCTTCAAATTTGTTCCATTAAAAGAAAACAAATTTTTCTGATGGTTACATTATACTGTTATACAGACTGAGAGTCCCTCCTTTTAGCGGCGTTTGGATCCCCAGCTGTGAGAAGCGCTTCACAAAGCTTGGGACCGGCCCCGACAGCAATGCACCGACAGAGAGGCATTTTTGTTTTGTTTTTAATGGAACAAAAACGGTACATTATGAGACTCATAATCCTTGATTTTTAAACACATGGTAGGTTTGAAATTCAAACTAACGGTCGTATTTAGGACTCTGTGATAAATGTTTAAGGCCCGGGGTTTAAGGGATATTGAATTATAAGGGGCCCTGGAGAAACCAATGTGGAGGGGTCATAATATTACAAGTTCACGTGCACTTTGTCTCTAAAACGTGTAGCTTAACTCCTCTCAAATGATAAAGTTAATACATAGGGGTTATGCACTGGAATGTTTTGGATATAGGGAATATTCTGAGGGATATTAATACAATATATCTTCCCGAGACTTCCCGCGTGTTAATGTCCTGTTTAAAAAACAATAGGCGTTACAAAGTGGGGGGGGGGGGTACGATGGGTGCGATAACCAATAAAAATAGAACCATGAGATAGAAGAAGAAAAGGGTAAAATGCTTTTTATTTTGAGCCTCTAGCTCAATTTTGAAAGAAGTTGCATCAATATTTGTAAAATTCAAAATAAATTTATTGGCCTGGTGTTTTAGCCACAATGGTACCCCCCTGACTGATAACCGAAATTCGTTTGGGCATCACCCCCCCCCCCGACTGAAAGCTGGCATGATTGTACCTTTTGGGATTCGATCAACTTGAGTTCTTCTGGAAAAATGAGGAGTCTTCAATGGTGCATCGACATAACATGGACTGGTGAAATACATGGTGGTATCCCGATGCTAAGTCATTGGAATGGTCAATGGTGTATTTGAAAAGTGCTCACAATGGTGAAAAGCTGCACGCTTTTGAAAGATCTAGACTTTTTGGCCGGGGGGGGGGTGACGTGCACCAACCCTTCCAAAGGGACACGATACATTTCTCGAGGGCTCAGAGGGCCAGAGGTTAATCATGTTGTCACAGGGTATAAAACCACAGGCCATATTCAATTCCGATCATGATATTCCTAACTCTCTTCAATGAAATCTGAAGTTCGAAGTCCATATCTAAACTTTGTATGATGAAACAAAACCAGAAGTCTTATATCATAAGTCTACAAAATATCCGAATGACTTAACTAATGACATTTTGAAATATAAAATTTTATTGAATAATATAAACACACCAGCATAAAAAAAATCAACAAAACAATATACCAGCGACCAAACAAAATCGCTTGTTGCTCAGATGTCTATGACTTTACTGTGTCAGAGCATGATGATGAAATTACCATTCGCCTGTGTCTAATAGGCTCAAACAGAGCTTCATACTCTTTTCGTTTCAAAATCTCTTAATTTTCAAATGGGAGACGAATTCAAATTTTGTTTTGAGGTGAATGCGATTTTTGTGAGATGGATTGGTCAGGACAATGCGATTTTCTTTTCGAGCGATGGACGATGGACGGTAAACACAATATCGCGTCTTCATTACGTACCCCTTCCATTAGATTGGCAATCGTGTGTTTTCATTTCGAAGCATATCAATATTTAAATCTAATTCTTTCCTCAATTGCAATGCTAGATCTAGTAGTTCAGTTATTTGTGACATTTGACGAATTTATCTAAATCGCCAATCATAATCAGGCTTTGATTAGATAGGTGGCCGAAAAGGGGATCCTGTTACTAATTTTATGGAGGGGGGGGGGGTGTATGTAATATTGACCACCGTCCAAACAATTATTTCCTGCACTATAGGAGAGAAGTACTCTAAAAAGGGTTTCAAAACTATTTTGAATCATCGTTCTGTAATTGTGCAAAGGAGTTTTTGTTTTTAGCGTAACGTACACTGTATTTTAATTCTTGTTTGCTTAATAAGATTAATTTCAATATGATTCGCAAGTATGATCACTGCATCAAATGTGGAATTTCTTGCAATTTCTAGACGTAGGATGGTCTAGAAACTCCGCGTATCTACGGGGAGAGGCAACTTAAATGAATATGCTAATTGCGTCCATAGGCGAAGCGAGGGGGGAGGGGGGGGGGGTGCAATAGAAATAAAACCACGAGAAATAGAAAAAGCTCAATTTTGAAGAATTTTTTGTAAAATTCAAAATAAATCTTATTTTCATGGTATGTTTATGCAACAATCGTAACCCCGTGACTGAAAACCGAAAAGTTTTTGGCGATTGCACCCCCCCCCCATCCTGAATGAAAGCTGGCTTCGCCACTGCCCTATATCAATTAGTAATGATACATTGCATACACAATATGAACACATAGTTTTTTCATCCATTTGGTCAGACGCACAATAATAATACTATTCTTGTATCTTGCTTGATACCCGGGGCTTGATGTAACAACTTGATAGATGCCCGGGAAAACCATTTTTACTAGTTATCAGTACAGCTTGTTTGGTATTTTACAACCTTTAAACAGTACGTGATTTATTATTCAATCATATATGTAAAACGTCATGGTATACGTGAACAGTTTGTTATACAAAATAATAAATAAAATAGATAAAAGATAAAAAGAAATCAGTATATTTCAGTGAAAATATGTCTAAATTATGAATGTTGATCATAATTGCTTATAACAATACATTCATCTGATTCGATAATTACTTTATTCTAGATTTCAATCATTAGTCTCATGGCGTGCCAAGACTTTTTGTCACACTCTAAGCACGTCTTTGCACTGCGTGTGCTTAGACGTGCCTAGAGATGTCTAGAGTTGGTTTCATCGCGTACCTAGACGTGTCAAAACTAGTCACGCCTAAGCACCCGGCGTGCTTAGACTTAGTTTCTAGACGTGCTTAGTCTAGAAATTCCATTTTTCACGCAGTGATCACACATTGATTATATAGGTCAGGGCCGAAATTTTGCCATTCGTCTTAGAATCTGGAGATCGACAACATATTGCAGAAGTGGAACAATTGATTGCGAATCTTGAGATCGGTGCTTCACTAGTTTCAGATGTTGACGCAATTCTCACTGATATCGGAGGTTATGAGTATCATCTTATTGACGATTACATGCGCCTTGCGTTCACTCTTCTAACTGCAAATGGTAGGGACAAACGTGTTGCTGTTTATTTCGAATCACTTGTATATATTGTTGTAGAGCTTTGACAACATATAACATAACGATAACTTTTCTTACCGAGGAAATGACAAGGTTCGAAAGACGATTAAAATTTGAATAAATAATAGAAAAGTATACCAAATAAACATGTCCTCGTATTCTGAAATCTGAATGATCTGAGCTTATTATTTATCAGGTAGAAACGTACTGTCGCTCGATGCTATTTTACAAATAGATCAGTTAGGAAAACGATCGGTAGATGATGAGAACCATTTTGAAAAAGACAACAATATTTTGACAGAGAAAGTACTTTTACGATTAAAAAGAGGTACGTGTCCAAATGTTCTATTCGTACATAATATTGCTTAGCCTTTCCAAGTGAGGGAGAGACATTACGCGTACACATAAAGTCGATATGGGAACGTGTAACGCGTGCGCACGCATACGATTACATACAGTTGTGCGAAGAGGGGGATATCCCCGGGAATACCACAGGGTTCAGAGATGACCATACTTACAATTGAAATTCATAAAGAGGTGACCATTGCCTTCAATTGAAAAAAAGCAAAACGGCGGATTCTTGTGTAAAAACGCTTAGAATAATATATACCATTATTATATCACTATCTAGCTAGCGACAGTATGATTGGTCAAAACCGGGTCACATGTCGTGGGATATCTGGCGTTATTATATCACTATCTAGCTAGCGACAGTATGATTGGTCAAAACCGGGTCACATGTCATGGGATATCTGGCGATATTCAATGGCAATGCTAATCAGATAAGACAACCGTGAGATATCTAGCGATATCCCTAGCTCCCGGGAATTTTCAAAGAATTTGTTTTCGTTCAGTGTAAATAATTTAGTTCAGTGTAAGGCAAAATGGCAGACGAACCGAGTAGATTCAATGTATTTCAATGTTAACCTATGACTTAATAATATTAGGGATGTTTAGCTAGACAGTGATATAATAAAACAAATATTTCACTCTATTTTCGGTGAATACCTGTAGCACTTTCACAAGGTGATATTCCACTTGCCCTTCAGGCTTCGTGGAATATCACTTGTGAAAGATGTACAGGTATTCACCTCAATAGAGTGAAATATTTGTTCAATATTCAATGGCAATGCTAATCAGATAAGACAACCGTGAGATATCTAGCGATATCCCACGCTCCCGGGAATTTTCAAAGAATTTGTTTTCGTTCAGTGTAAATAATTTAGTTCAGTTTAAGTCAAAATGGCAGAAGAACCGAGTAGATTCGTAAAAATATCTGAAGACTTGATGACTTAACAATATTAGGGATGTTTAGCTAGACAGTGATATAATAAAACAAATATTTCACTCTATTTTCGGTGAATACCTGTAGCACTTTCACAAGGTGATATTCCACTTGCCCTTCGGGCTTCGTGGAATATCACTTGTGAAAGATGTACAGGTATTCACCTCAATAGAGTGAAATAACAAATATTTCACTCTATTGAGGTGAATACCTGTACATCTTTCACAAGTGATATTCCACGAAGCCCGAAGGGCAAGTGGAATATCACCTTGTGAAAGTGCTACAGGTATTCACCGAAAATAGAGTGAAATATTTGTTTTATTATATCACTGTCTAGCTAAACATCCCTAATGCTATTAAGTCATTAAGTCTTCAGATATTTTTACGAATCTACTCGGTTCGTCTGCCATTTTGACTTACACTGAACTTAATTATTTACACTGAACGAAAACAAATTCTTTGAAAATTCCCGGGAGCGTGGGATATCGCTAGACATCTCACGGTTGTCTTATCTGATTAGCATTGCCATTGAATATCGCCAGATATCCCACGACATGTGACCCGGTTTTGACCAATCATACTGTTGCTAGCTAGATAGTGATATAATAATTGAACTTATCATTTCACGTCAAGATAGAGAAGAACTACACAATAGCAAGTTACAACAATTACTACAATTTATTGTACAGTATCAAAACCCAAATAACCTATAAAGAAACATGTTTGGCATAGGGAATACATCCACCACGGTATAAACTACACGAAACCATTTGCGAGGTGAAGACAATATAATTTCTCCTCGTGGTAGGCTAATTTATACTCTAAAAGTTATATGTTATGATATAATGAACAATATAAAAAGATTAACGTATACTTCAGAACTTACATGTACTACAAGGAAAACTTATATATACTAAAAGGAGAACTTATATATACTATAAGGAGAACGTATGTACAATGTATACTGTAAGGAATGTGTATGATTAAGAAAACATTATATGTTTCACCTCTCAAATTATATAAAGTTATGTTAAAATAGTTTCCCTATGATATATTAGAGATATTTTTAAGATATTTGGTTTGGTATGATATTTGAAGCCGTTTCATTCTGACGTACATCATCTATATTCAGAATATATTCTACTGAGGAAAGAAACAAATTGGAAAAAATCCCTGAATAGTACTCAATAAAGAAGAGTAGCATCATTCCGTAGATATCTACAAGTACGTGTAAATCCATACCCGTTTTTATTACTAAACATTGAAACTAAACGGTTATTGAAGAGGTGCGCAGATTGAAGTATATGTATCTCTGCACAACACGTTCCCATGTCGACCTCAGGATCAAGTAAATCCGTCCGTTCAACTTGTTGTGAAAACAGTGCCAGCTTTGGGTTTCTAATAAGTTGTGTTTGTATGGGGTGTGTTTCAGCATCAATTTCGATTCCCGGTGCACTTACAAAAGCTCCTATATTGGCTAGTAAGTACCCAATTCGACTCGGGGATGGATTCATTGGTGCATTTGATGAGGTAAGTTATCTAAAGATGGTGACATACGGTGTAAGTAATTGCAGTGTAGTGTACTAGGTAATTGTAATTCAATAAATGTCATTGGACCAATCAGAGATGATGACATGACGTAATGTACAAGTATATCAGTCATACACCAATAGAATATACAGGGTGGGCCAAAAAACGCCACTTTTTTTTCAAAATGCTATAACTTTTTTAATTTTTGATACAAAATCATAATTTCCATACCAAATGAAACTGGAGGTTGTTATCTAGCCATGGATCATGAATTATACACTTTTACTTGAATAAAATATGTCACCAGCGTCTCACTTAAACATGTGGTGTGCCATGAGAAATAAGCATACTTTGCAAAATGTTCCTAAACTGATACGGCCAGATTACCGTCAAGCTAATCGCTCTGATGCAAACCCCAGTGAGTATAGGGTATGGGAAGGTCTCCAGGAGATGGTATGAAGGCACCCAATTTAGAAATTTGCTCAACTAAAGCTGGCAATTACTCAGATGCGAGTAGGTAGTTACCAGTTTCGCCACCAGGTGGCTGACTCGGGGGAAATAACATGGCAGGGTATTACAAAATTCCCTTAAACTTGAATATTCATCAGTTTGAGTGGTTCACTATTCATATTACCCTTATGTATCTGATAGTTATACAGATTAAAATATGTCCAGTAAAAGAAAATATTATCTGCCCGACACAAGAAAAGATATTTCCATTTTTGTGATTTTACAACATGGGGGCTATGGGGAATCTCCCCGACCTAGAAGTCACATTTTCAAAGAAAATTAAATTTTCAAAGTTGATAAACTCTTTTCAAAACCATATTTCTAGATGTAATTTTACATGTAAATTCCAAATATGACATCAGTTTGACTGAATTTTGAATTTTTAATGACTTAAATCAGGATCATTTCTACTCGCATCTAGGATATTAGGACATGTTGAAAAAAATTTAGCTAACATTTCATTGATACTGCTATATCAGCAAGGCAACTAAAACTAAAATCTATCATCAAATAGGATTACGGACCAATTGAACTCCTCTTTTAGATCAAATATAATTCAAGTTGAAGGACTTGTTACATTATATTATTACTAAGAACCCTTGGCACTATATAACTGCAAAATTTGGTGTATGTAGGTTGGAAAAATAAAAAAGTTATAGCGTCTTGAAAAAAAGTGGCGTTTTTTTGGCCCACCCTGTACTTAGGTTAATCTTTTCATGGAGATTGACACATCTTTTTAATTTTGGGGTATTTCCCCCTCTTCTCCCGAAACACACCCGCTCAACTTCAATATTTAAGTGTAGAATGAGACATTCGAAGTAGCTGTTTTTCTGATAGATATGCAGGATGGCCAAAAGAATTGTGACCTTTGGTCTGATGGTCATGCCATATGAAAATTGAATGATGGACACTTTAATTTGCCAAATATCAAGGAGTAATGCCCTAAAAATAAAAAGATATGAAGAAAATCCAGGGTTGCCGTTTTCACCGACCTGTAGTTTTAAACAACAACTTGTTTAAAACAACTTGTTTAATAAGTTACGTGATTAAAAATATACTTGTACATTCGTCATTATCATCAGAAAATAACCCATACAGAAAGAAAGATCCCTGGATAGTATTCAGTAAACATGCAGAAACACGCAGAAGATGTTGTAATTGGAATTTTTAAACTAAATTGAAGAATGTAAATATGTTGCGACCTTGTTTATGTTTATTCTTTTAACACTGTAATACAACAATGTAATTATTTGATATGAAATCCGATTTGAAATCGGGGATAAAAGATACATAGTACATTCATTTTTTGATCCTATTTGGTAGCTTGATTCCGTCTGTTTCCGTTGACGTAGTGAAAAATAATGTAACTTGATATTTTTATAATGGTGAGTATACCCGAGAATATTGCATCACTACTATTCACCATGTGTTACATGCACTTGCATTCCATTTTAGGTGGTTATTTGTACATTTGTGCCAGATCTCACTGCACAAGAAGATCTTTTTCAAAATCACATTACACCAATGACCAGACTGGGAGACCATAGAGATGTTCGATAGATACAAATATCTTCCAATTGCGGAGAGCAATTTCTTTATTACATATCGAAATGTCTAATAAATTAATTCGTTGCAAAAATTCATGTATTTCAAATATTTGATTAATATGTAGAAATAAGCATTTGGAATTGAATCTTCTATTTTGGAGCGATCATCCTTGAATAAAGCAAGTAACAATCAGACCCAATTAAAGTGATAGTTGTAGCGTTTTTATGTCAAATGTCATCTTTTCATCTGTTATTGCAAATGCATACAAGTGTAACACTTACTTCACAGTGAAGACATACAGTAAATAGTAGCCTGGCCAGAACAAGTCATGCCTCTCTATTTTCTCAATAACTTTCTCAATTTTGAATATTTTTTCATGAAATTTTCACAGTATAAACTTTAAAGAATTCCTAACATACAATTTATTTTATATGGTAAATGCCTCATTAATTTCATTGTTACAACCTTTTAAAAAATAATGTCATATTCTGTTGATTGGTCATTTTTGTCGCCATTTTTTCTAAAAAGATACGAAAAATCTCCTATTACGTTTTGTCCTAATATGGTCTACAAATTTGATTGCAGTCTTTGATAGGGGATCATTTATCTTTTTAAGTGTTCTAAATCCACCATATTATTTCAAGACCTCATGATCTCAAGCCTCTGTACTGCTCGTCCCATAAAAGGCATTACTACTCGCCGATTGTCATACATGATGGAGATAAAAGATGCTTTCAAATGGCGACAAAAATGACCCATCAACAGAATATGACATTATTTTTTAAAAGGTTGTAACAATGAAATTAATGAGGCATTTACCATATAAAAAAATGTGTATGTTAGGAAATCTTTAAAGTTTATTCTGTGGAAATTTCATGAAAAAATATTCAAAATTGAGAAAGTTATTGAGAAAATAGAGAGGCATGACTTGTTCTGGCCAGGCTACTATGTACCTATGTACATAGTACATAGTTATTTTCCTATCTTAAAGTGTCCTCCCGTTTTGGCTACGTATAGCACAGAATTTATACTCACGGATTAGACTTGTTCATATTTATATGGGCGTGGAGGCTCTCTTTATGGCGTTTTTTTCGTTTGTACTGTTTTGTCATAACTACCGAGGTTGTATAATCGGATACAACATCCTTGACTGCACACACAACAGAATAACTAGTCAATAGAAAATACAGTGCCACTGGACAATTTCAATATACATTCTATACACCCAGAACATTTTGCCCGTAAATGTTTATTTTCAAGACCATGATATGATAATGCGCTATGTCACAATGTCATCATACTATTTGACCTTGACCTTATTATTAAATCACTAAAAAAGAATAAAGCAGCTGGATTAGATAATGTAACCAATGATATGATCAAATTAGCTTCCCCATCACTATCAGTTAAGCTTGCTGACCTCTTTAATCTTATCTTCAAGACTGGAGAATTTCCAACTATATGGAAGGAAGGCAACACCATCCCCATCTTCAAAAAAACCGACAGATCAGCTATTGAAAATTATAGACCTATAACTTTACTTCAAGGATTTTCAAAAATCCTGGAGACAGTTGTCCACTCTCAAATTACCGAGCATATTTTTAGAAACAAACTACTCTTTGCAAAACAATCCGGATTCTTAGCTGGTCATAATACTGAACTCCAAATTACGGCTATCATTGACTTTATTTTGAATGAATTCGAAAAAGGGAAATGTGTAAATGCCTGTTTCCTTGATATCAGTTCTGCGTTTGATTCCGTTCCGCACTCTCTACTTCTCCATAAACTAGAATCTTACGGAATTTCTGGTATGACCCTAACACTTCTTAAATCCTACCTCTCAGAAAGAAAAATCTGTGTAACAGTTGATGATGTAAAATCGAACTTTTCAAATATCGGATACATTAACACAGGAGTACCTCAGGGATCTGTCCTTGGGCCACTCCTATTTCCCATCTACATAAACGATCTTCCTGACAACCTCAGATCAGAATGCTATATTTATGCGGACGACACGTCAGCCTATGCCTCTTTCAATATCGATGATAACCAAACCTTTGACCTGCAACATGATCTGAACATAATTGAACAGTGGTCTATTAAATGGCATTTACAATTTAAAGCATCAAAAAGTGCTCACATGATATTCCAACCCAAGAATATTAATAATTTTGACATTATGCCCTTATTCTTTGAAGGTGTTGAAATCCCATACAAAACTTCCCATAAACACATGGGATTCACTTTTGACCACCGCTTAAAATTTGATGTACATATAAGTGAACTTGCCAGCAAGGTGCAAAAACAACTCAATCCACTGAAATCACTATCTTATAAATTAAAATCTAGGCACCTTGAACTTATATATAACTCCTTTATTTTACCACACCTGGACTATTGTAGTTCAATCTATGGCTCAAGCACAGCTCAAAATTTGATAAAACTAGACAGATTGCACTATAGAGCAGCACTCAGCTGCTCTGGGGCATTACATGGATCAAGTACTCTTAAAACTCTTGATTGCCTGAAGTGGAAACCTCTTGAGTCCAGAAGGAGAGACAAAAATCTCATTATTATGTTTAAAATTTGTAGAAATATGGCACCCGATTATATTGTTGAATGTTTTGACCATTATAAATCTGAGCAAAGAAGGGTTCTCAGAACCCATAGACCTTTCCAAATACCGGTTAAATCAAGTGCACGACTAATTAATGGACCAGTGCTAAGATTGATCTCTGAATGGAATAAGTTATCACTAGAAGAGAGGTCTACTCCCACCATCTCTTTGTTCAAAAGTAAAATCAAAAAGAAATCGTCAAAGTTTAATGACTTCAATACAACTTCTAAACTCAATCGTTCTCGAAAACAAGAAATTACCTTAAACAGAATTAGATGCGGACTCTATTTTGAATCACAAAAGTTTGCTCATAATTTTCCCAACACAACTAATCTATGTGTCTGTGGTAAGAGTGCAACCCCTAAACACCTGATTCTGCAATGTAAGCGCCATTCAACACAAGGGAAAAACCTTGAAGAAACCCTTGAGCAGCAAAACCTTGAGACCCATCTCAGTGGACAAGACAAAATTGAATTTTTAATTTTCAAAAATTCATTCTCAATTCAACAAGATTCTCAACTAAAAGGAAGGTTCGTTGATTTTATTCTTAGCTTAACCTAACCTATTTTATTTCGATTTACTTTTCACCATTAGGTGTAGGCTACTAGTTAGCACATTTATATGTATAACTCACTCAATTAATTAAATTAATTTAATTTATATTCATTTCAAAACGCTAGCCTGTAATGCACATTGCGCTAGGCAGCGACCTGTGTAACTCTTTTGACTGCAATATGATTGAAATAAACGTATAATGAACCGAAATCATACTATTTATTTTTGATGTTGCGTTATCATGGTTATGAAACTATAGTTTATTGTGCAGTGTACCTGCGTACAATGCTATTACACACAAGTTTTTGAAAACATAAACAAGTGTGGTAAGTTGGAAACGTGGTGTTCACTACAAGTTCGCGTAAGGGCTCCCAAAAGTGGTCAGGGAGGTACCTTTAGTCACTTTTTAATTCTAAATTCCCAAATGTTACGTGTCACATTTAAAAGTCGTATATTACTGATTTCATTAGGTTTAAGACAACTAGGACATTTATTACAGTTAATCGTATGGTATGTTCAATTTTTGTTCAGCTTGAAATACACAGAAATACAGGTCAATTTCACTTACTTACTGATCTATTAATAGATCAGAACGGAGAGCCTATTTTTGTCACTTCAAAATACTTTTGTGAGATGAATGAGCTAGATGAATGCTATACTCAGAATCATAACTTGCAAGCACGTGTTCGTTTAACTCGTTTTTAAATACTCCATTAAACGTATGATTACGAAGCTCTCCCAAGAACATGGGGAGGGGGGGGGGGCGATGCAACAACACCGTGCTCAAGATGGCCAGCCTTCCGGTGATAGATTTCCGAAAGATATTTTGTTTTCCAAATCTAAACTCATTTCTAGGACGAGTTTCTCAATAATCATACACGTTTAGTAAGCACACGATCCATATTTTAAAATCTGCCATCACGAAGCGATAAATTCACAGTTTTAGTTAGTTCCTCACTGTTGATGCAACAACACCACACCGAAGATACAAAAACACCCCTCTAGATTTGAGCAATGATGCAACAACACCAATTTATGGCATATTGTTAATACTACTATGGGCGTTCCTAGACTATTAATTAATTAATCGTATAATTTCAGAAGACAATAAATCCCGGGAGGGACAGATTAGTGGTACTAGTGCAACACCGAGGCATCTGAGCCAATATAATATCATCCAACACATTTTAGGCGACCATGGTTCAGAGAACCTTAGCATTTGTGCACCATTCATAAGTTTGTGTGAGACCCCCCACGCGGGCCAGGGGATTCTCTATTTATAGTTTATCAGCGCCCGGACGCATGCACATTTTATACTTTATCGGACACTTTAAAAATATAAATTAATACTTGACTAATCCGTAGCACAGTTACTGTATATGGTTACTAAAATAATAGGTGGCGTATCACAACTAGTTTTTCATTTTTAGTAAAAATTAAACTCCACTTATATTGCACAACAAGAGAATGAACTGTATTTATTTAAAAGAATGTATAGTTACAACTAGTTACACCATATTCACTCATTCAAGAGATGAATAGTAAACATCAAATTTTAGACGGTTACATGTAGTGCACTGAAGCTGAACTAATTACATCCACCCACTTCTCAACACACTTACCTCATAGTCAATTCAAGAATGGGCCATTTACCTTTCTTATAGGCCAGGATACAGCATGGGTTTTGGGAAGTTCAAGGGCCACTTGATAGACATAATGTTTCTGAAAGATGACTTCATTTAGCATCAATTCATATATGTCTGGGTCTTTTTAGTTTGTGGACGAAGGATTCTGAGCAGTTTTACCCCCCTAGAATAATATTTCAGGGGGGTACTATATTATCATTCTATAAAATCAGTTATACATTAACTATAGCACTGATTTATACATATTATGTTGCTAGCACTGTAGTCAAGTGT